AAATGGCTACCTAGTGTATCTGGTATATCTGTTCGACTAATAGATTTAGACTTAATAACAACATTGGTGCTTCGTTCAGATTTAAATCTGCCTCGATTATTTTTATCATCATCATCGTCGTCTTCATCTTCATCATCATCACTATCACTTTCAGCCTTCTTTACTTCACTTTCATTCAAATCTTCAGTCTGAAAGAAAATATTACAGATCAATACCAGATCTTTCCTTATTTAGCCTTTAACAATACAGAAGCAATAGAGAGTCTTTGTTGTTAAGGTATTAGGAACATAAGTGTGCACTGAACACAATCATAAATTAGATACAGTGTGTATTAAAGGGATCGTAATGGGTTTTCTAGTCAGTGACATATAGTGACATCATTAAACACTTAGGCAACACTCACTGATGTTCCATTGAAAATTGGAAAAATGCAAATCGATGTCCAATTTCGGAGTCAAACAGTTCACAAATGAGCTTCTATCAAATAGTTACTTCATGGATATGTTTGCATTTTAAATGTGTGCAATAGAAATCTTACCTCATTGTCATCCTGATAGCTTTGATCTTCAGTTTGTGAGTCGTCAAAAGCAGGTTCTTCAGTAGCTGATTGTACATAACCAACTTCTTCTCCAAGTTTCCTGATCTCAGCTGCTTCAGCTTCAAAATCTTCTCCTTCAAACTCAGCGAGCTCGGAATCTTCTACTCCAATCTCAAAAGTTTCTTCAGGAGCCTAAATAGTAATAAAATTTCTACATGATTTAAACTGTGTAATATGATACTGTAGACAGATGAGTAAGTTTTCAGGAGTAAAAACAGATAAAATAGACTCAAAGTTAACTAAAGTTAAATTGATTCATTAGTAGATTAGTTAAATTGACCTCAACAAAAGGAAAGGTTTAGATTTCCAATAATAAGTTCAGATTCCGAAATTGTATTTTTTTCAGAGCCAATGCAAATGAAGCTTTTTTAAAGCGGATATTCACAATGGCGTTTTGGTGCTCTGAAAAGATAATCATTACCTGCCTTTTCCAGTATGATATTAATAACATAAGGAAAAAAATATACAGTGATATATTATTTAATCATCCAATCCCAATTCCAATTATCTCTACTCTTAAATGTCTTTAACCCTATGAACTCTTGAGTGTAAATGAAATATAACACCATATACCCTGAACTCCAAGTAATAAAAGTAAAAGTGTATGACGTCACTTTGTAACAGCCGGTTAACCGGGTATATATTGTGTTAGTGTCCGCTAGGGAGGGTTAAAGGGTTATCATTTAATCATAAACACAGTAAAATCTGTCTTACCTGATCATCAAAAGCTCCAGTCTTGTTGTCTTGAGCATAGGAAATACTGAAATAATATAATAATGTTAGTACAGACTAAATTATCGCAGTATTAGGTCAAGTGGTTATCGCAAACAACCATTAATATATCGTGATATAGATATCCAATATCCATAACAATTATTCTTAATCTACATGTATAATCTTTCATAAAGAAACAGTCTCTTTTCAAATCAAATGGAGTTTTAATTCATTGACATTTCACCATTACGATTGTGAAGATATTGTGGTATTTCAGGTATACATGTATATCACCATAATCATCACATTAAAAAGATTGGAATGAAATGGAATTTATGTCATATTTTCTGCAACTGGTCTAAAGAAGAAGAATAACACAATGCATTAGGCAATGAGGGACATTTTTTCCAGATGAATATTGGCCTTCTTATTGATTTCCAACTGAATATGGTCATAGGCGTACCGGCCCAAGGCCTATTGGGGGGGGGGCATGCTGGTTTGACCGAAAATTTAAAAAGGTTGAGATGTAGGGCGAAGTAAAACTCCTAGCACCGAAGGCGCAAGTTTGTCTGGGTTTTCCTATGAATATATTTAATATTATAAGATGGCTTACTCTGAGTCTTCATTATCAAATGTTTGTGTATTATTTAATATAGAGATCTGTACTGCAATGTTAGATTTAGTTTTATTATTATTTCCCTCATCATCACTTCCTAATAAAGCATCTTCATCAAATTCATCTTCTGATTCTTCTCTCTATAATATTGATAATACTATATCAAAATAATTCCAACTGTTAAAATAGTTGTCAATATAGCAATATCATCAACAACATGTTTTAAGTTTAACATTAATAATATCACCATTCATGGTTGTATTTGGCTTTTTTTCATGAGGCACAAACTCTTGGGTCAACTGTCTGGAGGTCAGTGTCTGTGGTATCGACATTTCCTTGTGGGCGTATAAAAATAACACTGGTTAGAAAAATGGAGGAATTCCTCTTATAAGCGCAACTGTGATCCCATGAATTTAGAGTGGTAGTTTGTGAATATATTTGAACAAGCTCCTGATTCTCATCATAAAAATATTTTTTTTAGGAAAAGGTAGAATAATCCACTAATACTAGGGCCTACCTTTGTTTTAGCAAATGCTGTAATGCCTGGTAGATCATCTCTTAGTAAATCATCATCACTGAAACGGAATTAATAATTATCTTAAACTTAGTCAAAATGAGTTCTTGTTCATCAGTGGACTGATCTGGTGTCAAAACTATGCAACAGAATGCCTTTATAGTCCAATAAATCCATAAAACTAAGTAATAATCCATTAAACTAAGTAATTTTGAAAAACGCTTAGAAACAGAATCTATTGTCTATATAGATTATATTCTTTATTCATGGCAAGTGGTAAGTCCAACTGAATACACTTGTTGACCAAGTTTGAGACTTTAAATTTCATGTCCATTTGCACCATTTTTATTGACCAATCATACTTTAGTCTCAAAACAAAAACAAAAATGGTGCATCTGTCCTGTTAAGAATAAATCAATCTGATTCTAACCTGTCCCAGGATGATTCTGTTGGTCTTTTACGTGACATTTTTATGTCTTGTTAATTCTGATATATTCGTATATATTTGTTTCTCTATTCCACAGAATCTGAAATGAAAGTTTACCATTTAATCAACTAATCAGTTTTCGTCTGTTGAAACTGACACAAATAATTTGGAGCAGCTTTAAACAGTTCAGATCCAATGAAATATTATCAGTTATTATTGAGGCGGAAAAATAGCCTAAATATCGGCAGAGCATATCTATATTCTGAATAAAATTCTAGGCCTCAGTTCATTTCAGTTCATAATCATCATGGACATCTATTTTTTCCCACTACCATTCAGTTACATGCGTACTGGTACAGGACATAAAGTACAAAATCTGCAAAACCCAATAAATGCTACAAGAAAGGCCATCCTGTCCATCAAGATATGGAACCAGCTGCTAGAGGATGTCATTTTGGTCAAGTCCTTGAAGATCAGGATCAAGGGTCTGGAAACAACATCATAACATAAGTCTCATAAAAGCATTGCATGTTTTTATCAGGTACTTTAACTCCATACATAATATTGTGGAATTCCCCTCCCTGACAAGCTTTTTAAACATGGTGAGAATATACCGCAGAAGCGGTCCTTCACTTTATTGGAAGAAGAAGAAAACATGTAGCAGACAAGTTCAGAATCGAACCCCTATCAAGAATCAAAAATGAAAATGAAATGAATGGAGTTTTACATCCTACTCTTCTGCACCTTGTGGGCTAATGAAGACGGGCAACGCCATGCAGGGTGCCATGAGGGAAATTTTGCCAGGACAGTGGCATTAGCCTGCTCTTTTTCGATTTCCAACTGTCGAGGGATCTTTAACGTGCACAGTCTGTAGCACAAGGGGCCTCGGTTTAATGTCCCATCTGAACGACTAGACGCTTTTTTCATGTCAGCCCGTCTTACCTGCATCACTGACAGGGGGAAACCGGGTTGAAAAATCCGAAGGTATTATCTCGACCTATGCCGGGATTGAACCCTGGACCTTCAGGTTAGCGAGCTATCAAGAATCAAGAATAGATCTACGTAATCGACTCAAAGAAATCAATTTCGTCAGAGATTGACTGACAATCTTGCTAAAACTTACTATATATATTAATAAACATATCAATGTGAAAAACCATTCGATCGCATTATTTTTATGCGTTCATTTTCTGTATTATCTTGAATATTTTCTTTGATCAGCTTGAACAAGATGGCGCCTACGCGTCCTTCACCTTTTACGCGAGGGTTTGAGTAAATACTCGAAAAGACCCAAAACATTTGATATGGACGGGTTTGACTAAATTAACGAAATTGAAAAAATTAATCTTAAGTGAATTTCATTAGAATGGTAACAAACCTAAACGGTTTATCTTTTTTTTTTAGTCCCCTAATCTCTGAATTAGTTTATTCAACTTTTTTTCAGTCTTTAGAAACAAAAGATGTAATACTAATAAACATTAGAGTCCATAATTATTCGATACCGTGGTGATTTGTCCATGAACCATTCATTGACATTGATGTATGTCCAATTTTCAAAGGAATTAACAACATTACATTACCATTCATCAAAACGAGCAACGTTATATAGAGTGTCTAATGAATATTACTTTTTGCCCCACCTCGCTTTCTCGCCTTTATATTTATCGCTATTTTCTTTGACTTTTAGCGTTTTCCCCATCTTTCTCGACCTTTTCCTCGACTTCTAGTCTTTTTCTCTCGGTTTCTTTAATTCTCACCACCAGCATCGATATATTTAGGACAATAATCGTAGGCAACTGACATGCTAACCTGTAGGTTGTGATCAGTAAAGTGCTTGATGGGCAGTGGCAATAATGTTCATAATAATTGGATAGTGTTCCTTCAAAATTTGTAATTTCTTGAAGGAAAATTCTTTCCAATTGCATATAATGCAGGATATAAGCCCTTTTTAACGGTGCACTTCCCCCTCCAATGTAAATTTCTGAAGCTGCCACTGCTGATAGACATGGCTCAAGAAGCGCCTAGTATTTCTGCACTAATGCAAACTGTCAGTGTAAAATATTTATATCTCAGTCGTAACGAAGGGTTATAAGGTAGAAGATAGGTTTTTAATGCTCTCAACAATGTACAAATGAAAAAAAAGGTAATTTTTTCAAATGAAAAGCATTCGACATCAGATCCGAGCACTTAAAGTCAATAGAGCATTTTTATCCAAGTTTTTAAAATAACACTGAAACCCGGATTATCCGGATTATAATGCATTATGTTGTTTGTTTACATTTTTTACTTTCGAGATGACTACAGCCAGACTAATCAAAAACAACTCGGCCACAAGGGCAATAGTTCGTGACCAAGGTGTAAATATGACCATCTTCTGTGAACCCATCGTGTCCAAACCAGACACCCATTCGTCATACTTCCTTAATAATACCATGTCAAAACCCGTATTCGTGATTCTGTGAACCATACTTTAGAATTCTATCGATGTAAAAATCGTTGGCAACAATTCACTTTTCAAGTAAACATCTGTTTATTCTTAGTATTTATTATTACACGTAATTACTCAATCAAATCAATCATTCGACAATGGTCAAAAGTCTCGATGAATATCCTTGTGTTCTGTACTGTTGGTATCCCTTTCCGCATTGATTCTGATTGATGCCGGTTAGCACTTACATTTATTATGCTAGGATTGTATATTCATTTGATGTTTTCTGCTTCAGATTGTAAAATCACTTTAAAACGCTAACACACTTTATTGGCAATGTGACGTTTAAGGAAATATCAGCATTTCGTTATGATATAAGATTAATTAAACTTCAGATACCTGTGATGTGAGGTCATACCATAGAGTTATATATAGTTCTATATATATAACTATATGGGTCATACCATAGACATATGAGGTCTATAAAGGGGGACTGGCCGTAGGATATAGAGGATTATAAGTCTGAGTTGGACGGAAGTTTAGCTACCAGTCAGGCATAAGGCCGGGGAATAAGATAAATCAAGGTAAGATATTTCGCTGTATCAATACGTAATTACGTATAATATGGAGGCAGCATATAATCATTACATTAGGTGATGAGTGGCACATATATGTTCACTCTTTACTCCAAGGGCGACTCTCCCATACCCCTCTTGTCTTGTCTCATGATAAACCAGTGTTTATTTCCGGATTTCGATAACTAGATCAACGTTTCTCATATTTTTACATTGGTTTATCTATTCTATCTTATAAAAAAAAATACTCTTTCTATTTCTAATTGTTAAAATACCCAAAACGTCGTTGCTTCCATTAACCTGTCAATCAAGCGAATCAACACGTCAGCAATATACAAAACACAATGTTAAAACATGTAAGGGGGTGTGTCATAACTTTATTGGATCATAAAGATATTAGTGATGGCTGGATATATTGAACAACAATCATTAGATCTGAAAATATTCTTTGGTGAACCCATTTAAGCTTTGAAATGGATGTATGAATTTATTATTGAAGGGGAATAGCACGGATTTTGAAGGTATTAAAGATGAAGTGGTTTTAGCGAGACACAAAAATAGTTTGATAGGATTATCTACCATGATTTCAGGTAAGGCACATATTCCCAGCTAAGCTCCTTTTGATTCCGGCTAGCGGAACATAAAGCATTTGTTCCTCTACCCAGTGGCGTTTCCATAAAGAATTAAGTGGAGCGACCGAGTTTAGGTTGGGTTGGGGGCAATAGCTCCAGGCGTTTAAGAACTCAATGGTTTAGAATGTGAACTGAAATGTTTTATAATTAAATTTGATTTGGAAATCATTTTTTAGCTTAATGATTTGTCTTAACGTTAAAAAAAACGAATTTTTTTTATTATGTTCTACAAAATAATTAGAATTGGTTTATTTCGATTTTCTTTATGAATCCTTCACTTTGACCCATATTTCATGAGTAACCAACTCGGCAACGGCGGCAGAATGCGTCACCTATTTTCGTGTACAATGTTTAATTCGGCCGATAAAAAATGGTGACGTTTGGTAATAACTGAAATCCGCCATTTTGTATTTGTCAAAGTATACATTAATATATTTTACCATGCTTGAAACTACTGAATTCATTCTACAAGCGGATATTGTACAGAAAACCCATGTTTATCAAAACTAACTAATGCGGAGGTCGCTCATGTAAATTATTAATCCTTTCCGGAAATCCACGAATAATAGGTTTCCACGAAATTAGGTTACTTGACTGTACTAGTTCGGACGGGACAGTCTCATCTAGTCACCCCGAATCGCAGATGGCTAGCACCGCTACTGTGTATACCGCTACTGTGGAATACGACACTCTTGAATTACAACTGTCTTAACAATTTCACCCCCCTCCCCACCCCTTCCAATTGCACATTACACGGGGTTACCCCTCTTCAATTGCCCATCAGCTAGAGGATTGACGGACAGAAAACTCCATTGACTCGTTTCTGTTACAGGTTTGAGAAAACTTACGATTGCTTTGACTGTAGTCATCACGATTTTTGGTGTATATTTTATGTTCAATGGAGCTGATTTTTATAATCATTTTCATCAGTGAGTGACATTCATTTTAGCTTCATTTTAAACCCCGTAGAATGCTTCTGAATGTATTTATACGACTCTATCTTCATCATTTAGTGACCATTAACATTGAAATGACTTGATCGTGTGCAGCGCGGAAAAAAACAAGATTGAACCATTTGGACCATTCAGTGTGCATTATTATTATATTTAAAGTTTTTAAAGAGAGCTATACTTCAAGGGCTCAGAAAGGTGACGAAAGTCATACATGCATATGAAAGGTTATGTTCAAAAAACTTTGCCTCGGGTAATTTTTGATGGTTTAATGATACATCAATGACACTTACGCCATTAATACCCGAGGCATATTATTAACCATACCCCACACTATTGTTAGTATTTATTAAACTTACATAACGAATCAGATTAAAATATAATTCGTGGATTGCAAGAGTGGTCGCCTGTAAAGAAAAACGAAAATGAAACTCCAGAACTGTATTTAATCAGATTGGTTAAAAACGGTCTGAAAGTGTCGAGACAATAAATGAATCATCGAATTTCCCATTGGACAGTCCATAACATTGTACATCTGCTTTTGTTTAAGCAGGTCTATACATATATAGGGCGTAAAGCTTACATGTACCGTATAATTGTGTATACAATGCGCACCATATCTCACCCTCGAGCCACGAGTATATCGGTTACACACGCAAAAATGCTGTATTTTGTATAATTTCAGTCTACCAGAGAAGAAAGCTGAACAGACCGTTGTCCATTATAAAATCAAACCACGGAAACGCATAGTTTATAATTCTCCTAAACCAAATGGATGTCGACTTCAGGTCAATAGAATTCACTGTTTACAAAATCTCCAGAATCAAATTGGATTCAAACAGTGTAGAAATCCAGCATGTTCTTGTTTTCCGCTGGAAATCTTTGAAAAACAAACACCATCCACTCTATTGGGAACATTTCCTCCCATAACAGAACCTATGTTACCCATCGAAAAGGAACTTCAAGACGTTGAGCCTCTGATGGATATAGAAGAAACGTCGAGTGCCACTCTTTCAAATTTGGTTCTATTAGATTCTTCCAAAATCGTTAATGTCGGTGATATCATCAACGTTAGAGTCGACGCGAAGGACGGAGCGAGACGACAGCGGACCGTCGGTGCCGATTTCGTTCAAGTATGGATGCGATCTGTTAATGGGCCAAAGCAAGCAAGTAGTGCGGAAGTAGTCGACCTGAAAAACGGAAGTTACATAGCTACATTAAGAGCATTATGGGAAGGAGATTCTATAATCGTAGGAGCCTTGCCTTTTACAAGGGAGGAAAACGCTTTCTATATTCAAATGGGACGAGAATACAGATCTTTCAATTTTTATGTTGGACAATTTAGGAAAGAGGAACTGGAGGAATTTACTCTCTGTTCTGTGTTCTCTGTTATCCCTGGATATAATCTCCCCTGTAATTTCACAGAAATTAATTATGGTTTCGAATGGTATTGTGGAAAACCGGTCAATGTAAACCTGACGTGTAATGATTTTGTTTTCGCTAAAGACTACGATTTCGTTAATATTCCACTCACTTTAGCTCTGTACAACACTTTTGTCAGGTAGGTAATTAATCTATTTAATTTGCATTTACATTCCCATTATCTTCATTCTGAATAATCAATTTATAGGAGCCTATCGATATAATAATGACTGAATAAGCTAGTTATCAATTAATTAGAGACCTGTCATTAGAATACATAATATATAATTTCAAGTACTTTCAAAAACTAAATATAGAACACATATAAATGCGGTAACTTATCTTTACTACCTTTTAGGATGACCAATAATGCCAAAATGAGTTTTTACCTGGTCTAAAAACTATACAACATAATCCATCTCTAATCCACTAAAATCATTAAACTAAGTAATTTTGAATCACACTTAGGAACGTTTTTCAAGACTTACTTGAGTGATGCTTTAATGGATTTATCGTGTTATATAGGTACCCATTCTGTGATTATGGTATTTCGTATGGCCAAGTTTGAGATTTTGAATTTTATGTCCATTCGAAAAGGTAATATTCCTTAAAATTTCCTTCGTTACTCGTTTGCTTTTTGATATTTTGATGTCAAGGGAATTCTTGATGTTTTACCTTTTATTTTCAGATCTAACAGAAAGATCATGATTCCATCACGGATCAAGTTAAAAATAGAGTCAGGTATAATTATAAATATAAGCCCAGAAATATTGATGGGCTTTTTTCTGAAAAATATATTTTTAATATGCACCGAAAAATGGCATGGCTGGCTTCCAACCAGTGCCCTTCGGATCAGGGATGCATCAGCACATCAGTCGCCTCTTAGCCGTATAGAACTACAGCCAATGCTTTCATGATTTTGAAAAGAAAAATAGTGGGATATTTCTATTCGATTTCAGTGGTGATCGGATTACAATCTTCGAGCTATATGAAGTTGGTCACGTTAGTTTACACTATCTGTTGAAAATGATTGCTCACTGCTATCGTGTCACAATCTGAAACTATAGTTTTTCATGATAGTTTAGATTAATGATAGCTTGCTGCTATCGTGTCACAATTTTCTAGCTTGTTGGACAATATAGTTTAGATCAATGTTAGCTAACTGCTTTGTCACAATCTGCAGGCTAGTTTGACCAGCTAGCTACAGTTTAGATCAATGATGGCTAACTGCAATGTCACACTAGCTGCACGTTATCGCACATGATAGTTCCGATTAATGGTGGATCGCTGCTTTCGTGTCACAATCAGATAGATGCCAGATGGCTATATTAAATGATGTAAAGTGACAAAATTTCCATCTATATTTTCAGGTCGTACATCCCAGCCTCAAACAAACAGGATTGACTGTACCGAGTTACCCCGTCGTGAGACCTGGAATATGATACAACCCACTGGATATTTCAACGGAAATAAGTGGGAAAATATAAAATGCCACAATCCTGTGAACAAATTGAACTTTTTATCATGTTTTAAAGACACAACATTGATAGTGTTTGGAGATTCGACCATTCGTCAGTATTTCAGTTATATACGAAGTGCATTTAATTGTTACCAAACCACACCAACTTGGACAAAACTAGAATGGCACCAGGTATCCCATTGTCACGTTCCTCAGTACAATTTTAGCCTGACATGGGCAGTTCAAGAACTTCCCTTTACGGAGAGTTTTAAAGCGTCAGATGGGAAAATAAACTTGAAACCTGCAGCTGTTTTATTAAACGAGATACCGAGCTCCGGGCGCATTGTTTTCCTGATTCATTATTACGTTCATTTTATAAGACAACATTATTCATTATTTATTGACAGGATTCGATCTCTAAAAACTCCAATCCGAAATGCCTTAAAGAGAAATAAGGAAATACATATAGCAATCAAATCACCTCACGTATTTTATGTGTCTATCTGCCCAACGCAGTTCAGTATATTTCAAGGTAAACTTTATATGGATATATTAAAAAGAGAACTGGCCGAATTTCATGATAAAGTGTGGTTTTTAAACATCTGGGACATGAGTACAGCGTCCGAAAATTACGACATTCACCCGCCCGCAGAATTTGTGTGGGAAAATTTGCGGTTATTGGCAGGTCATGTGTGTAATAAATGATAATAAAATTATGTTGAAATATAAATATAGGTTATCTCCCTTAGTCCATAGAGTTATTAATTCCTTTATGATTGCCTCTATGATGAAGTCCTATATTTTTTTAATTCTTAGCATCGGCGGTATCCAACCTGAAAAATGCCTTAAAGCATCAACATCGCCCTTATCCACAGCCGCTCCCACCCTCCTCGCATATGACTCTCATAAACTAGGTTACGAATTCGGGTAATCCGGCACTGTGAAGAGACAGAAATAAAAAGCACTCTTCAGTATGTGTAGCGACCTTTCACTTGAGTGTACATTCGGAATTATATTATGTAAATATGATAGATTAAGACTGACCCATTTCACCGTTATATAATACAGGCCTTATATCACGTTTTAAACTTACACAGAGTGCACTTCGGCAATTCTCGACAGTTTCCGTAAGCTGAATCTGACCCAGTAATGAATGGTGAATTCCGTTGTGTCTTCTTGGGTGAGACTCTTTGCGAATTAAATATAGTCCTTAAATTTACCGTGGGAGATAATTCTGACACTTACATAATGCATTTAATGCTATATTGTAACTATTGGTTATCCAATGATACATTTTATTATCAGTTGAATACATAAACAGATTGTTTTTCAGACATTAAATTTTATGTTCATTTTGAGGTAGAATTCATTTAAATGAATTCAAATGAGATCTTCTTGTGTGTGTAGGCTATATCAGTCGCTACTGGTTCGTTAGTGCAGCATTCCTGTTTCTAAATCTCCGGTTGAAGTCTGTGGTTCTTTGAAAATTTCTTCAAATTTGTTCTTTCTGAAAAACAGTCTAATTAAAATTTGACCAAATTTTCGTTCTTTTTTTGTTAGCTTTTATTTTTAATATAGCCACTTCTGTTAGGGTCTAATGACTGGTCAAACACTTGTCAAAATAACCTTTTGGCCTAACCCTGCTTTAGCCAATCAAATTTCTGTCTAGTCAGAGAGTGAAGAGATTGGATTGCAGCAGATGCTCATAATAGGTCAAAAAATTAATTTGACGAATGTTTAAGAGGCCAATCTTTAGACAGATGAAAGTTGATGTAATTTTAATAATAGTGGTTCTTAGACTAAGAGGAAGAATTATCCTTTTAGTGAGGCGATAAATACTGTGTGACCAGCTACCCCACGAAGATAACAGTCATAACCACCTCAGTCATGTCGGTGTTTAAAGTCGTGGACACAAAGGGAAGGTTTTTTACTACTATTGAGAAAGATGGCTGTCGATTTCCAAACAAGAATTTGAGATCTGTACAGAATTTTACTAATTTTAAGTTGCGAAAGGATGATGTTCTGATATGTGCATATATGAAATCTGGTGAGTAGCCTTCTGTATTGTTTGAAAACGTATATATAAATATGATATACTACCTACTTTTCTAGATACTTGTACACTGAAAGGCAAAAGAAACGTCATAGCTGTGTATCATGTATATATATATATAAATATGTATATGAATTGAATATGGATCAAATAACAACTTGTTCTCTCGAAAATGGATTAAAAGTGTTTCATTTTACCAAGAATTGATGACAACCCTTGTTACTTATATACACAATTAAATATATATATATATATATATTCAAATTCTTATATAATATGTTAGTTACATCTAGACTTAAAGGCAACAAAAAGAGTTTTTTTTACACCTATGTAACTAATTATAAGGGAACTAGGTTGTAGGGAAAATGGGATGTAAGAGGGAGAAGTGCCAGTTTGCCTTTCGATATAGATAATGCAATATCACTAAAGAAACCTAAAACTTCAACAAGGTTAATACACGGTCGTGCTTAGTGCTAAGTGTTTGTGAACAACAACAACGATAACATGAAATATATGGCCTACATTATACTACATAATGTAGTAATAGGCCTACAATCAAACAAGCAGTGCCATTTCATTGTAAGAAAATGAAAGTAGGGGATCCTGTCATACTACGATATGTTATTGAGAAGTGCAAATTAATGAATCTTTAATGAAAAGTTGTATCAAGTATTTATTATTGTTGACAACTCTGATTGTTAATAATCTCATCAGCTAGTGGTTAAAAGGGGGCCAAGGTTCAGCTTGTATGGCTGTAAACCTGAATTATGCACGCCAATGTTATACAAATAATTTGTTATCAAAAAAGCTTTAAACTTAATATTTGTAAAAATGTAAATTTTGTTTTGTCTCAAGAAATTAAGAATTTGAATTGTATGCATTTATTCTATGCTGTTATAGGACCCCTTTAGATCGTCTTAACAATGTAAAGCCTTAAGAAGTCAATTCAATTACTTGACATAAATTATTAAGCACTTTCGTATCTTCGGAGATACAGCTATTTGATTGGATTATTCACTAGCAAATACAGTTAATAAGAGCCTTTGACTGAAAGACTGTGAACAATTATGGCTGCTTGTGTAAGATCTTGTCTAGCCTCTATCACACATTCTTCTCTTCGTCTTCGTACAAAATGTTTCTCAAATCTTTGTATAATTGACCGAGTCTACAGTGGCTATTGACGGTAATGTGAAATATTACTTGGAATAATTCGGCGATTATGACAATGTCTTTGAATTTTAATTCTTTGCTCGAGAAATAGATAAATATACAATCCGCGGATGAAGATAAAAAAAAAAAATTACTATGTGACTCAACAAGTCATTCCAGTCATCGAAATTTTTCATGGGGGAGGGGCCAACATTTCTTAGAAGTGGGGGGGGGGATGTTTCTTAGCTGCGGGCATGTTTGGATGACTATGGACATTATTGCCTTATATTTATTCCCTCCATGGTTACAGGAACCCATTGCTTGTAGGAACATTTATTATTTTACCAAAGAAAACATTGATTGTATGAGCAGGGACCCGCTTAGAGAATCGTATTTCTTTTTTTTCTATTTTGATGACAACAACTTTCGTTGAAAGGAAACATTATTTTATTATTATTTATTTCCTCTGTAATTTTGTAGGAACCTATGGGTCGTGGAAAAAATATTTATTATATTATACCCATGTAATTGGACGTGTAAGTTGTGTCAGAAGTATTTAATTGTCATGTAGACAAATTTATGGTCATTATGGACTTTAACTCCTTGCTTAATACAATAAATCTGCTTCTTGCATTTTGGCTGATTTTTTTGGTCAAGCATGAATTGATCCGGTTGTGTCTCATGATTTTTACCATTATAGCAGTAGAAAAGTAGACTATTCCCACTCTTTTCAAAACACCTGATGGTACTTCTCTGGGGAGGAGACGAGGAGTCTACTTCCATACAACTTTTACTCCCGATTTTGCCATTCTTTGGACGAGATTGTTGATATTATTTCTATTTCCAGGTACCCATTGGTTATGGGAGATATGTCGAATGTTAGTGGCGGGTACCACCGAAGTGAAGATTGTCGAAAAGGAGAGTCAGATGATAGAACTAGCAAACCATGATGATTTGGATAAGGACCCATCACCAAGGTTCATTAATACTCATGCTAGATTTGATCTGCTACCAAACGACTTCTGGAAATTTCGTAATAAAATAATCTACATCCGCCGCAATCCCAAAGCTGTGGCTGTCTCCTTCTACAATCATACTAAAACGGTGTATGAATATGACGGAGAGTGGAATGATTTCTTCAAACTATTTGTAGATGGAGTAGGTACGTTATACCTCCTCGCTCCAGCAAATTTCTTGCTTACATAGTTAGTTCCTTTGTCCATTTTCACAATGGCCATATACGTTGACTGCAACGGTTCACTTTCTAGTTCGCGGTCAGCGATTTGAATGAATTATACACCAGCCAATGTAGCTAACCAGAGCCTTCGATTACATGCGTCATATTGTTTTTACAGTCTTTCTGTCAAGGGCTCAGATTGGCTGTTTTCGCTAGCGTACAATTCAATCCTAAACTTTCACCTAAACAATAAAAAGGGCCATTGCAGTCAAGGTGTAAGATGTAGAGTATCTTCAATGACCCATTTACTGCCATACCTTGACCATTGTGAAGATGAGCTTTGCTTTGTCCCCATTTCACTAGGTTGTGTAAGATAACGAACTGGATTGGCTACTTGTCATCTCTTTTAAAGAGTTACCTCACAGATTTTGGGTTTGCCATCTTTTCAGCATCTTCACAATGTCAAGCTTTTACGAACTGCGTATTATACCTTGATTGCAATAGCCACCATTTTAAATATATTTGATTGTACGCTATCAAATGTTCTGAATGTTGTATTGTAGTCGATAATGGTTCATGGTTTGAATACGTATTACAATGGGAAAGAATTATAAAGCATTCTACAGAAGATAGAATTCTGGACATTGCTTATGAAGATGTCAAAGAGGTAGGCCTTATAAAATACATTTCAAAATTTGAAATAGACATTGATATCAAGGGAGTTAACAAAGGAATGGTCTTTCTCTGTGAATTTAAATACCATTTGTCGGAACCTTGGATAGAAAACAATCAAGTACTAACGATCCGAACCGCAAAACGGAACTCGAAATCCAAAATAACACTTCTGCGTTTTCCCCCACAAAATCACGCTCAAAGATCTTTTCGACTGGCAGACAGAATGGCTTATAGAACTCAGCAGGTTTCATGCATCAATATACACCCGTTTCACTTATTACTACAGGATATCAGAGACTTGTACGTGTCGGACAATATAGTAGGCATATCGCTAATTAAATACCAATCCTTTGTACAGAACGAAAGATGTCACAGTATATTTCAATCTCCTACAGGTTGACTCCATTTTCCTTAAGCAACGTTACATGATCAGCATATCATAAGATCTGTAGCGGTAGACATGCTTTTAATTTAAACGCAGGATTACTCGGTAAAAAGTAGAATGCTGAAACAACGATTTTTCAGTGGAGGTTGCATTTAGATGTCCATATCCAGCGATTTGTCAGGTTCTTCCAGTTTGTTACTAGATCTAGCGAGTCGTTAAAAATCGAGTTACCCGCAGATTCTGTCAGTCATTTGAATGGATTAAGATACCAATTTCTTTTTCAGGACCCATTGCGAGAAATTCGTAGGATCTGTGAATTTCTAGAGATTACAACAAGTGAAGACTTAATGAAAGATATTATAGATCATTGTGATTTTAAAAAACTGAAGAAAAGAAAGGAAAATTTTTCAATAACCAAAGATGGAAATTTGTCACTTTATCGTAAAGGTTGGTTCCGTATAGCACATATTGACTTTAAGATATTTTCAAATTTTTGAACTATTTCAGTCCGTCTCCCTATTGACGCTCTTAAAGTAATTATCTTAAAGGGACAACGACACTTTTTTGGGGGTGAAGGGGGGAGGGGTTGATTTGAGTCTTGAATCTGTAAATAGTCCCATAATTCCTTCAAAATATCTCAAACTATGAATATTTTTTCCTATTTATATAGATGCATTTCTAGAAAAATTAAAACAGAACCTAAAAAACATGTTAATCAGAGTTTCACGCTATGCGATTTTCAGACAAGTAGAGATCTTCGCACGACTGGACTATTCTACCCTATTCTATTCTAAGGTTTCATAAAAATTCAGATCTACCTCTACCTCTATTTATTCCCTATACATGTAGATCTAATGTAAAATAATGTGTATTTGTAGGTGAGGTAGCAGATTGGAAAAACTGGTTCACGGTGGCACAGAATGAATATTTTGATGAAGTTTACAAGAGGAGGATGATTGGATCAAAACTACAATTTAAATACCAATGAATGTGTCGTGATTTAAATACTAATTATGAATGTTATATAGAGTGACGTCAACGAACGATTTGTCATTTGTCAATCCTTGTAAAAACGATTGCCAAAAAACTATTAATTTCGTTGAATATTATTTCCAAGGCTCACAAAAAGAGTTTTATTTTCTAAGATGACATGAAATGGGAGGCGAATATTGCCGTCACCCATGTCGGTCCGTCCGTTCGTCCGTCCACAATTGCTTGTGAACACTCTACAAGACACAATTCTTAACGCATTTTGACAAAACTTGGTATGAGTGTTCGTAATCACCCAAGGATTACCATATTGAAAATCAGAAGAATCGAAAAATATTAAGTATGAGTTATTGCCCTTGTTCTTGAAAACGCGTGAAATTTTTAGCTCGTAAACACTCTAGAAGGCACAATTCTTGATGAATTTTGACGAAACCTGTCATGAGTGTTTGTTATCAACCAAGGTTAAAGTTAAACCCTATTGAAAATCAGAAAAATCGAAAAAATATTAAGTATGAATTATTGCCTTTGTTCTTGAAAACAAGTTCAATTTTTTAAACACTCTAGAAGGGACAATTCTTGACAGATTTTGACGAAACTTGGTGTGTGTGTTCGTAATCACCCAAGGATGAACCATATTGAAAATCAGAAGAATCGTAAAATATTAAGTATGAGTTATTGCCCTTGTTCTTGAAAATGCGTTCAATTTTTAGCTTGTAAACACTCTAGAAGGGACAATTCTTGACAGATTTTGACGAAACTTGGTGTAGTTCAGTCATACCGCCATTTATGTCATGTCTCCGGTTCCATCAAAGGTTTTTTTGGGGCGAAACTGATTTAGCATCGGCCATTTAAAACTGCGTGTGCAGCCAAAAGTTCAAATGTCACACAGTCACGTGATACTAACAAAACGAACGTTACGGTGATCCCAACACTAATTTACAATCATCTTAAAAGTAATTCAATATTATGTTAGAGAAAACGCCTCTTTGGAGGTGTGGAAAATCCCCATTTAACAGGGTCTTTTTCTTCTGACTCTACTACAGCTGACAACTGTCAAAATATCCATCAGGGTCTGTAATAGAGGCAGATGTTTCGGAATAAGAGACCGTTGAGCTTTTGAGACTTAGATATTTGGTGTAAACGCACAAAACTTTATATAGTGATAGACACATTCAATGAAGTCAATCTAACGGCAACAGGTAACAGGCAACCTTTTTATCTGCAACTTCTTTCAACCCTCAACCTCTAGCAACCTACTTGAGATGTTCACACAGGGCAACCTTCTTCAACCAAAGAGGTTGAAACAAATTGAAAGATATTGTCATATTGAATTGAAATATTGTCAATTTGGGAGGGATTCACTAAAACAAAAGACTGAAATGGTTGAAGAGGCTGGATGTATAGCTGCATCTCTCATTATCTTGCTGGATGAGAAGAGATGGCAAGAAATGAAAATCCACCGAAATCCATCTATGTGAACTGAATATATTTGCATGGAATCCAAGATGGCCGCCAAATCACATTGATATTATCTAAATCGGTATGTAGCACGCTTAATATTTTAGACTAATAGAGCCAAATATCATGAATGTACGAGCATAGATATAGCTTTTTTATACACAACTTTTGTTGATGGTAATAAAATGATAAAACAGAATATGATGTCATAGGGCCCATTGTCAATAATCGCATTGAGTGACTCAAAACCGGATCACCTACATATCTATTAGACCATTTAACTCCCACAAATTCCGACCAATTCGGTTCCATTGACTCTCAATGAAATCAGGCAGGATCATCAGACACAAACTTTCCTTAAGAACACCCTGATCTGGTGTGTACTGGCCTGACAGGTTTCCCTCAGCTCGAATAGAGCTCATCAGGGGCAAGTGTGAATTCTTCACCTCAGTTTGAATGCAAAGGCCCATTTCGATTAATGCGAATGCATTACCAACAATGTGGAAGCGATTTGCGACACCTACAATGCGGAGGCGACCTATGCCGAAGGGATACCTACAATACGGAAGGGATATCTACAATGCGAAAGGATACCTGCAATGCAAAGCGATGGCTACAATACAGAAGAGATACCTACAATACGGAATAATAAAACCCAAGTTAGTTAGAATAATCCAAATAATCCGCAACTGCAAAACAATACTAGATATCCTTAAAAAAAAAAAAAACATTTTGGCAATGCGGTGCATACAAAACGGTGGCGATTCCTACTATGCGAAAGCGATGCCTACAATGCCTAGTTGAAACAGATTGCAGACCATGTTTAGACAGGCAACCTCTTTCAACATTTTTGGTTTCCGGTTTGTGATTTGGTTGCCGGTTGAAACCTGCTGCATGTGATGTTGCGCGAAAACGAACAAAGATTAGTTTATTCGTTAACTTACACCTCCGCCTGTGTTTTCTGACTACTTTTACTTGCTGTTCAAATATAAGATTCCCTTGTTTTTGTGAGGAATTTCGAGGTATCTAATGTTTTAATTGACTTGTTGAAGTTGTATTGCCTTACCGGTTTAAACAGTATTATTGATTGGATGGCATAAATTATGACAGCTGTGGATGCTATTGGGTCTAAATTCCATAGACCACGATGTACAGATGAAGTTCATCGATCATGGTAAATGGATCACCAGCAAAAACAAGAAACGAAACATAAACATCTTAATCATATTTACATCAAAACTTTACAAACCACTTTGTGCTGCATTAGTCTCTGAAACCTAACAATTAGGGTACTGCATACCTTCAGCAAAATAGCCACCTTCCCTACAAAAATCTACAATTTTTCTAAACTGGTCGTATCTGTAAAAAGGGTAGCATATTTAGAATAAAAACACCATTGCGCTATGAATTGTCTCAAAAATTAAATTGTAACTAAACTTAATATTAAAGGACTGTATTATTTAAATCATAAATCACTTTCTGAGGTTTGCCTTGATTTAATTAAATAAGCCAGGTTACCCTCATCCCTATCTCGATATCTCATTCTAAACTTAACTTTAATACCCCTACCCACCTAATTCTAAACCACGCTACCCTCACCCTACCGTAATATATTATTCAGCTATATGATACCACCCCTTAAATAATCCCACCCCATAGTTCTAAACCAGGCTACTCTCACCTCTACCTTAATATTTAATTCTTAACTTTAACAACCATACGGCAGCATCCCTTTCATAATACCACGCCCCAACACCGGCAAACACACATATTTTACTGAAATTTGGAACGGCGCAAATCGATAATATCAGTGTCCCTGATACGGATAGAAAACCTGTCCCATTAAAACCCCCTCTCCAGAATTCTAAACAAAACTACCCCCACCCTTACCTTAATATCTAAGGACAATCTAATTCCAACCTCCCTTAAACACTAATTCCTTAAAACTACCCTCATCCCAACCTTAATAAATTACGGCACCCTCCCTTTAATCTTAAAATGCTTTAATACAATTCGCGCCAAGTTCAGTCCTGGGGTGATAAGTTATTGAACTGAACACTTCTAAAGTTAAACTTGCTTCGTTAGCATTGTCCTAATCTCTGAAAGCAATTATGAAATCATTACATAAAAGACACGTGAATAATATTATGGATATGCTAAACGCGTGCCCTCGATAAAACACAAGTGCTTCGAATGCATTTCTATTTATAAATAACCAATGAATGTTTAGATACCCCACTTTCGTTTTATTTAATCACATGGCCGACATCAAGTTTGTGAAATTGTGTCTATGATTTGAGTACGATCGCTGAAAACTTTCTCCTTTTATTCTTATTAATTGTAAATACATCCTGTCCATTAAAAACTAATTGTAGGCGTTTTTCTAACACTAGATCAGACATCAAAACGTACTTATTGTTGCCTGCTTGTAGTTGACGTAGGATTAAGGCGATATATTTACGTAAGTAACAATTTACGTCTTTTTAGTGAAAAGCAAATTTTACCTACATAATACTTACGTAAATATTTATACTTACGCACCTTAGTGAAAGATTTCCCCAAATGAACACTGGCGAATGTGTAATTTTTAAAATACTAGATAATTGTATCCATACACTATAGTCATAGAAAAAATCAAAATAAAAGTTTAGTATGACTAAATGAAATGAGCGATTCAACGTATGCAACTGGGCGTTTATATGCCGTCACTATCATAAAGACCTTAGATATAAGCAGAGTTTTCGATAATCACGTCTTAAAATGCCCAGTTTTACTGAAAAAAAACACAAACGTCTGACTGCAGATTGGAATGGTGCCAATCGATGCTTTCAGTGTCTCTGTTTCTATTCCACAAAAGCAGTTGCTTTCATGTCTCAAATCAAGATTTTGAATTAAGAAAATGACATACCTTCCTCTGAATATTTTCCTAAAAAGTATCCAATATTATGTCACTCGTTCCAAAATTGTGATTTGTCACCGTTTAATCCATTGTTTTCAGAGAAATATCCAAAATTATCCAACATCATCAAGATGATACACTATTCACAGATATCATCTCAATGTATTGAAATAGCCCAAAAGCATCCAGAATAATACAGAACATCAAAAAAAGTCATAATTCATAGTCACATTCTCAACTCATACAATGCCGCTATGAAGTAGAAATCCCGCCAAGAAATACAAATTCTGTAGTCATGCAAACGATAACTTCCACTCCTCCCATTCTTTGATTGACAATTTGAATTTCAGCCAATCAGCAGCCAGAATTCTACATCCATGTGCTCTACGTGTCAACTCTTCCCGCCAGAAATTGTTTACAGTTTCTGATGGTTAGAAACTGTCACCTTCTCGTCAATTTCTTGAAAGTTGATAAATTATTAGAGGAAATGATCCACGGAATTTCGGCATAGCTGGTTGACTGAAATTTGAAAAGAAATGCTGGACATAAATTTTCTTTGTAAAATCTAAAATCTGTTTAACAAATCTTTTAATAACTGCATAAAGGATTATTTTACAAAATTGGCAAGGGAAAGAATTGCTAAACTGGCATGTTTGTTGTGTAAATTACGCGGGAGGGGACCTTTAATTCTGAACAGAACTCATAACATGATTTCTAAATTCGTACCAAAAATTACCTCAAAACTTAAAGTTTTACTGTTACGATAAAAATTCACCTTTTCCAAGTTTTAGGCCTTAATGAGACTACATTCTAATTAATGAATTAAAAATGTACTGAAAAGCCTCTTGATTCTACGATAAATTCTTGGACGAAAAGGTGTAAAAGAGATAAAATTGCATTTGAACAGAGTAGACCACAGTAGATTTAAAGTAGTGGATCATGTACAAATATGCCCATATTCGATATGCGGTTAATGAAACGAGAACCCTTTTTAATTGATCTTCAATTTTGATCACATAGATCTACCTACCTACAATGTTATGTGAAAAACGGTTGTAGCCGTACAGAGCTATGTCAATTTCAATTACAGGGGTAAATATCTCACTAGGGCGGTTGACGGAGAATATACTTGTCAATAAAATATTGACAAATTTCCTGTTTTACTTGTCTGCGGTGCAGATGCAATTTAACAACGCTATTTGGTTGAGTACAATAGAAGGGTGAATACAAGGAATCTTGATTAAAATATTAATATCGGAAATCATTACTTATTGTTTGACATTTCAAGTCTTGAAAAAGATTCTTCCAAATAAACAAGTTCGAAAGGAAAATAATACAATATAGGAAAATAACAAATCGATTTCTAATAATTAAAGGTATCTTAACTCTTAGGATGACCAAAAATTGAAACGTTTAAACTTGGCCAAAATGAGTCTTTGTTCATCAGCCTTTGTTCATTACTTTGTGTTATAATCATACAACAGAATCTCTCTATAATCCAATAAATCCATAAAACTAAGTAAATATTCATTAAACTAAGTAATTTTGAAACATGCTAAGAAGAGTGTTTCAATAATTTTTTAGGTTAGTGGATGTATCGTCTTATATATAGCAATTATTTTCTTTGGTCATTGCACCTGGTATATATACACTGTATATATATATATAAACTGATGAATATATAGACTTATTGACCAAGTTTGAGATTTTAAATTCTCATTCTTTTCTAAGAGGTAGTATTCCTTCAATAAATATATTTACATATAAGACAAATTTTAAAGGCAAGAACGAAGTTGTTAGAAGCTACAAGAACTTTAGAGCGATACAGGTCGACAGTGGTACAAACAAAATTCTTAACAATGGCAACTAATTTAAGGAGCGGATCAAATAAAATAGTATTTTATTTCGCAGTAATTATGTCAATTGGTATTAATTGTAATGGAAACCAATGTTTTAAACCAGCAACTGATGTACCATTATCAGACAACTTGAGAATGAACACTGATTCGTTTCTTACTCGTCCGTCTTTAGGACCTGTTGATTGTGTCAGAACATGTAAATTACATTCATTGTGTAATTTTGTGAATTATAACAAACATACACTAGATTGTTCACTTCTGGCAATAAATGGAGATTTGGTTTCCGACTATGATCATATTCATATTGCTGTTATAAAGTGGAATGATAATATGCTTGACGGATGTAAACACCACCAATGTCCTAATAATACAATGTGCAAGGCAAATGATCATGTTGGATATGAATGTCAAACAATAGGATGTAACGCAATATACGTTAATAATATCAACCATACGTCCTTTTCCCGTAAACCATTATGGAACTTTGGTGAGACGGTAGAATATGCCTGTACGAGGGGTTATTTTACAGCAGATAATGCTACTTGTTTAACATCGGGGATGTGGAGTTCTTTTACTTGTCAAAGATATTTACAATGTGGTGATAATGATGTCTGTTCTGTGGTGGAAAATAAACATTACTGGATTTACTTTAACGAAACTCAAAAACTACACAAAATATATTGTGATAATGGTGCATCTTTAACGCTTTTGGAATACAATACGGCGACGACACCTGCAGTCATTCGAGGTGTGGGTTCCTGCGCTTTAATTTTCGACATTATGAAAGGTCAAGGGTACACAGATTTTCAAAAGGTGAGACTCAAATTGTTTCCTGTACACATCAAAACTTATCTTCTCCCGTTCACCAATTCAACATACACACCACAATATTATGGACATGCCACAGACTGTTATGCCGGAAACAACAGTCATGAATGTGGTGTTCTTGGTAAATTTATCATCAATACTCAGGGTACTGGGTTAAGAATTAAACCATCGATAAATTGGAAGACATATGGTTTCAACGGAGTCATTGCCAACATCACCCGCTCCTATGATGGTAATTATATAGAGGGATATTGCGGTGGTCAGTGTGGAGGATGTGAACCCGACGGCAAACTTTACCTAGAGGCAGACCCCAACTATACTCCGCCATTCGAATCTGCAGAGTTACCAATTTGCAGATATCCACACGGGTTATAGATGAGTATAACGGTCAAAAACCAGTCGAAAAATTCGATTTATATATTGTCCTGGATACATTACCAGAAACGTAGAAAGATAGAGAAATACCACTGTTAAAGTAGTGCTCGATACATCAAATGTAGAATGATTTAGAAATACTACTGTTAAAATAGTGCCCAATATAATATAGAATGATATAGAAATACCTCTGTGAAAGTAGTGCTCAATACATCAAATTTTAATGTAGAATGATATAGAAATACCACTGTTTAAATAGTGCTCAATACATCAAATTTTAATGTAGAATGATATAGAAATACCACTGTTTAAATAGTGCTCAATACATCAATTGTAGAGTGATATTGAAATACTACTGTTAAAATAGTGCTCAATACATCAATTGTAGAATGATTTAGAAATACCACTGTTAAAATAGTGCTCGATACATCAATTGTAGAATGATTTAGAAATACCACTGTTAAAATAGTGCTCAATACATCAATTGTAGAATGATTTAGAAATACCACTGTTAAAATAGTGCTCGATACATCAATTGTAGAATGATTTAGAAATACCACTGTTAAAATAGTGCTCAATACATCAATTGTAGAGTGATTTAGAAATACCACTGTTAAAATAGTGCTCAATACATCAATTGTAGAGCGATATAGAAATACCACTGTTAAAATAGTGCTCGATACATCAATTGTAGAATGATTTAGAAATACCACTGTCAAATTAGTGCTCAATACATCAATTGTAGAACAATAAAGAAATACCACTGTTAAAATAGTGCTCAATACATCAGATATAGAAATACCACTTAAAGAATAGTGCTGGATAAAATAGGGCTTAATACATACATCAATTGTAGAGTGATATAGAAAAAATATGTGCACATATTGTAATACTGTCGGCTATTTGACGTTGTTGATTTTTAATTACAATTTGAAACGTTATAGGCTATAGATACTGAATGTCGTATTATATTCTGTGCCATGTTTGTACCTTGTTATGGAATTCTTTTACAAAGCCTTAGTAGTTTTAGTACACGTTAGTTATTACACATATTTTACGTGTTCCAAAATACACTTCTATCAACTTTTCTTTGTTAAAACTGTAGCTTACAAGTCATCATTGAAGGATGGAGTAACTAAAAGTGCATTAATGGGGATAAGATGAAGAGAAAGTTACAGTTTATTACAATTATGCAGATTTTATATCTTGCGATATATCGGGTTACCTTTCACTTCAAGATTTGTCATAAAGTATCGAAGCTAAGGTCAAAATATTTTGACCTCTTAATTATAGATAAGCGTCATAGGTTTTTAACTTTGCAATGGCAGCATTTTTTAAAATTGAGCCAGATTTATCGGGCTATCATTACTGGTGATCCCGCTTGTAAATCGGGAATGACGATAAAACTCATACAGATTATATATGATGTATGGTACTAACAAACAGGGCAGAAAAAAAATCAGAACTGGAAATGACACATGAGCCGTTATCATCAAGTCAGAATTTTCGCCATTTTTTTCTTAGATTTCCATCTGATAATATGATTTTGGTGTCTCAAAGCCTTGTAATGCCTAGATCACATATTCACGGATCATCTCATTGGCTCTACTTCGGATTAAATCTCACGGAAAACCCCGGAAATGCCAATTTCCTTAGTCCGATTCGGATGTTCAACAGTGTGACTTTTGGAAAAACAGATTAATACAGTTTTAAAATGGACTAAAACGAATCAGTACGTTCTAAAACGGTTTATTAAGGACATACTACGGTAAATTGATTCGTGAACATGTTCAAAAATTATCACGGATATACAAGTACATGTACTACTACTATGACCACGAATGATGCCGGATTGTATCCGTAGCTAAACCGTTAAATCTGCGGATGTGTGATCTAGCCAAAACTCTACTCTATCTAACTATCTAAGGTGAAATAATACGTTATCTTGTTGACGATATAAATTGTTGTAATGTTGTGTACAATAAAACTATGGAGTTATATACCATAAAATTGTGTTCCGTTATTTAATGTGTTCTCCACCCCTAAATGTCCCAAAAGTGACATTAATACATTACACCGGAAGTGGATTAGCTGTTTGACTGTGCCGATATGTTTTCTGTTGTTATCTGTTTTACCAGAACCAGAAATTTCAAATCAATTGGACAAATCTCCGAGAATACATTTTTATTCCATAGTGTTCTATGGTTGTGCAAACAAATTTCGATTTATAAAAGTCATGAATTCCGTTTTGCTGTACCTGTTACGTGTACCAGGAAATATGCTCCCGATAAATCGATATTCCACTTTCTTATTATGTTAAAAACAAAATATAACAAAAAAATATTTTGAATGAAAGGAGTTGAATTTTGAAAAATTCTAAGAAAGCAGAGAGTAAAAGTATGATTCAACGGGAATTTTTCTCATAAAAAGGCTATTTTTCAATTGCATCTTTACAACAGACTTAAAAATTCTATTTTTCAATACGTACAGGAATTAAATAATGCCAGATACAATGTTAAGGCGAACAAGAGTAGATTTAACCTTCTCAATTTTAACAATTCGTAGACTGAACTACTGTGCGTACTGTACGATGCCAGGAGTGAGTCTTGCCAAGAACGGCACATTAATGTCATATTTCACAATATCACAAGCCCCAGAGCTACCTATTACCTTCCATGCACTGCCACAATACTCTATCATCGCCATAGATGAACATACTAGAAACGGCTAGAGAAAACTAAAGATGTGTCGAGCAGAAAAAAAAGAATGGGTAACAACTTAAAATTTATTCCAAGCTAATAATACCGAATAATTACTTCAATTCCCAATTTTATGCGTTATTTTGCACCAATGCATTTTTTCGAGTTAACCTCATTCTGTTTCGATTGAGATTCAATACTCATTGACATATTGCTTTACTTTTACTTCTTTTTTCAGATCTCTGTGGATAATTGATCGTGAAGAAAAAAAAATTACACGTTTCATAAAAAAAATATAACTTTATTATTAAAACATATAATAATCAAAATAACTAAAACGCGATCTGGCTCGTTTCCAGTCTTATTTCAGAATTCGAGAATTCCGAACAGCTACAAGAGTGGACACTGGACAGTAACTTGCGCCAAGTTGAGACTTAAGTTGGACACATCTTTATAATAATTCTTATTTGCATGTTAACAAGGCACATGGTATTAGAGAATTAACAAACTGAGAGTGAGTATCCATAAATCATATGCCTTTCGATCAAAGTGTTCCTCTCTGACTATTGACGAAATGGAAACAAGCCCAATCAGGCTGATATTAAAATAGAATGTGATAGCTTTGTAGTTATCATGTTCCTATAGCAACGGTACAAATACAAAGATTATCTACATCCTGGTAATGTTGCTATAGGAACATGTGTAGTTTATATACAGGTGTAAAAAATGAAAAAAATATAATAACAATTTGGTGTATATTAGTACGGGTAATTAAAAATAAAATACATGTATGCAAAACACATTTGAATATCAATACATATTATGTATAAAATGATGGAAAATTAAAACTGTATTGTTTGTAGACTGCGAACCGATATCGTCGATAATAACATAATTATACAAATCATAGATGAATATCATCAAAATAGGCACTGGTTCTTATCAGCAAGATGAAATGAAAATATAAAATGTAGTTGATAAGCTTCAATACAAAAGCCGTCAGATCATTTAATATCTCATTAAAAGAGACAGGTTTGCTATTTTTGGGAGTTGAAGAGGGTTTTGGATATATGTAAATAGGCTCCAGAAGTTAGAAATGGACGAAAATCGCTTAATTCATTCAACATTAATTTCACATTCTATTTCTATATATGTCTTTTCTATACATGAAAGAGTCTCAAAGAAAAGCGAGTCGTCTTTTTAACTTTCAAACGCGGAAAATTCTGGACACAAATAGATTTAAAGTTTCGAATTTCGACGCTGAGCTGTGGACATCATTACTGATTAGATAAACTACATCGTTCCAGTTTCTGAGACTAAGTTACGATTTGTCATTAGATGACGTCACTTAAAACACTTATGTTGGTTCACAGCTTGGGAATATGGTGGTGGAGGTGTGTAATGCGCCGGATCTGAAATAAAAATAACCTATTATTTTCGTGGTTATTGATTTTGTGACAGCTTCTATAACGAACGGAGATTGCTGAGTCTTTAGCGCACTGATTAGATTATCTACAACTGCACGACTGACCTAATTCAAAAGGACGTGCATATTATATACTTTGATCCATTAACATAATTTTTCAGGTTTGATTTAGAAAGTGCAATTACGCTCTACACGATATCGCGCGGGATTTTCTCTGCAACAATTTTATTGGGGTAATATGTTAAAAATGAAATTGTCAAAATCAAATACATAGAGTCAAAATATCTCATTAAAACAAGTTGGATCAAAATCAATTTGGATTTGAACAATTCCCCAATGTAATGTATGTAACGATTATTGGTCCTGTCCCCAGAAAAGGAAACATATTATTTTAGGTTTCATAACTCATGGTAAGACAGTTATAATTTCCACAGCAATCACTCCCTTCCTAGTTTCCTGGAATGATAAACAAACACAATTGTACCTGAATACTCAAATCCTAAGGGTACTGTACCAGCTGTAGCAGCTGGAGTAGGAGAATATGTAAAAGCTGATGTAGGCTCAAGGGAGTAAGGTGGTGCAGACTTGCTGTCGTAAGCTGGGGTTGCATCACCACTGATAGGTTTACTGTCATAAGGATTATCTGAGACGGAAGTGGTAAATGCTGTAGATGTTGGCGGGTTGGAATTGTAAGGCCCTGTTGATGCTGGTGTTGTGGTATTTCCGTTGTTGTACGAACCTGAATATTGAAATAAACAAAAGATTAGAGATGGTCGACTCCAGAAAACACAATATTTTACCAGCTAATTCTGGTAATCTAAATCCTGTGCAATTAACTACAAAGGCCGAAAGCAAGGAGGACATTCTGATGTGCGTATAATAACTGTTGCGTAAAAAAACATATGAAGTATTAACATTGGAAATTTCAATATTGAGATAATTTTTATAACAAACTGGCGATTGATGTTTTCATTTTGTTGGTGAACTGTACGTCAAATAGCCATTCAATCAGCTATGGAAAATGAATACATGTATGTATTATAATCCATCTTGGATGTTGTCGAAACTAATGAAAACGCCCTGCGTACAATTCTCCTCTATTTAAAGCTGTTTTCAAATGAAATTTGAAAACAGAAATATATTGACTTCACAAGACTCATTCAGAAGGACAAAAAGGTACAAGTCACTACAAGACTTTTTGCTGCCAGACCACAGAGCTGCTTAAGAATTTGTTTGTTTTAAAGGAAGTCAGTGCCTTAGGTTCAGTTAGCATAATGTTTATTATTTTCCACTGAACGAGTCTTGTTATATAAGCAGGAAAATAAAGCCACGGCCATACGTTTTTTTTGAAAACTATTTCATCAAAAGTGTAAATCTAAACGTAGAATTGGAACATATTCATTTGTTTTTGTTTCATAAAAAAGTGTATCATACCTTGTCGAATAGAATTGAACTTGTCATCCACCTTGTCTTTCTTATAATGTTTAATACAACAATACAGTAACACAGATAAAACAGTTACTCCACATAACACCCCGAAAACAATCCCCACTATTCGTCCAGTTCTGAAAATAGAGAATTCAATTTCAATGGAACTAAGTACTCAGTGTTAGATAGTGGGATTTTTTCGCTTGCTTTTTAATCAAATAGATCATCACATAATAATATATTCGCTTTTACAAACCGTCTTTACATAACGGCCGTTCAGAGAATTCAGAGATATTGAATCAAATTAATCGTGGACATTTCTCAACTGTTACGTATAAATAAACCAAACTCGGTAGTCATGTCGTAGTAGTCTCGATTATTTTCTCACTCATTTGGCTTACCACATCTTCACAATGCCGAGACGTTACGAACTTCGTCTTATGAAATGGATACCTTTCTGAAATAGCCACCCTTCTTGAATTAAGGAATGCAGCTATTTGATTGGATTGACGCAAGCGAATGCAGCCAATGGGCCCTTGACTTAATGACTGTAAAGATTTGGACTCTATTGTTTACAGACTTTCTGTTGAGGCCTGTCTATTTTGCGTAGAAACCAATCCAGTGACTGCATTTATAAACTTTCGTGATGCAAGAAAGATGGCTATTGCAGTGAAAGTGTACGAAGAAGTCCGTAATAGCTTGACATTGAGAAAATAGCAACATCCCAAACTCGCAATTACAAACCATTTGTTTTTTCTCAGAAATTGTGGAAGTCATAAAGACATGAAACGGAATAATAATTAGTTTTAAATGGTCTTTTAAACAGGCTATTATATAATGGTGAAATTATGATAAAATCGATAAGTGTAAAGATTTGAACTTACTGATTATAATATTCACAGCAATGTTCTCGTTTGTCGTCACCACAACAATATTCATGGTCTTCTGGTTCTCCGGCTCGTGGACAAATAAAATAACCATACGTTGTACCATTGCTGTCTTTATCGAAGTTATTGGTACAAATTGTAGGTACTGTAACATAAACACAGTCCAAATTACAAACATAGTTTCGCAACTAAACAACATACAATACCATTTATTTATTTTCTTAAATCCGCAACGTACTTTTTCTAACACCTCCCAAAAAGCACAGAGAACTTAAAAAGTTTATGTAAATCTTTTGAATAGTTTTGGCCTTGAAAAATTAACACATTTCTCTAGATTTTGGACTACAGATTTCATAATATTTTTTTGACCTACGAAAAAAGCCGAGTGGCCCTTTAATATAGACAACGACGCCTCGTGGCTATTGTTTATAACTGGGGTATATGAAAATACATATCTTACTTTCGCTTGGATAGGATCTGTATCTACTCGTCCTCATATATCTGAGACTTCCATAGATATACCCGCCTGTTAATGCTGCAGTAAAGGTAGATCTTGTGTAAGGGCTGGATCCTGACCGAGATATGCTGTTTCCCCGTGAACGACCTCCGCTTCCTCTTGATCCTCTGGAACCACCTCTTGATCCGCCTCTTGAACCACCCCCTCTACCACCACCACCGCCGCGACCCCCCTTTCCTTCCACATGTCCAATTTCTGAAGTTAAAAAGAAATAAGGAAGTTTAGATATCAGCAGTTGTTTAATGAGGATATGACTATTTCAATTTTCCAGAATTAGAATAAAAATAATAATAATTGTTATTTAATTCAGTGTGACAATCTTTACAAAAATACAACACACAGGTACATAAAAACAAGAAAAAATAAGATGCCAGCCGGTAACGACTTATGAGACACTATAAAACATAGCAATTAAAACATCAACATAGCTTAAAAGAATAATAAAGGTTTGGAACAAAGACCTAAAATACAAATAAATATATAGACGTTTATGTTAAAAGTGCCTGTTACCTAAATTCTATATACACAAGATACAAAGTGAGGTAAAATATCAGCATTGTTCATAAAAAAGTACACTTTATTCACATTATCATACAAGTTAAAAAATGATTCAATTTGGTAGACTCTGGTACATATTGATTGTCTATATGGTTATGAAAACTACAATTAAAAACACAAAAGGTATTAGATGGAGATTGACACTATAGATTCTCTGAGACTTTGACAGGGAAGAAGGGTTGTCAAAACCTGCCACATATGAATTTGTAGATAAATTGTAAAATATTTCTTGAGCTTTTATCACATATTCTTTAGAAAATAGACCGATTTTCAAACTGTTGCACATAAACATTAAGTTTTAGCTCTGCCTTAATACGATTATACGAATATTTCAAAATCTTAATATTTCAATAAATCTGTGCACACTCCCTCTTTAAAGTACTTTTACCGGATTCTGGGCCGGATTAACCGATACAGTAGAAAATGAAGCATAAACAAACAGGATAAGGGCACGACCGATAACATGGGGTTATGTGAATATTCTGTTACGATCCTCTGTAATTCGCAGTTATATTGAAATGACCCTTTTATAATACGAAATATAAATTATACAGATAATAAGATTATTCAACTATATATATGACTCTATAGGATTAATTATACAATAGTTATTAGAACACATGTTTTGATCAACAAGACAATGTTATAATCTCTACACAGTTTGTCAATTAGTACCTTGACCGATGTCTTAAATGAGTTAGGGTTTGCTTACTCTTCTACAATAAAACGAACCATTATGCGACTAGGATTCCCTTCGGAGAGTCCACATGTTTAATGTAATGGTAATGTTTAATCGATATATCTATTATTGATATTATTAGTTACAATCAATCAATCATATTTACGGAGACTTGGGGCATAATAGACATAAACAGAGCATTCCATTTTTTAAAGATATTTTTGGAATACATTAAGTTGAAATAGACACAGTTCATTGAAAGAATTACCTCCAGTGGCTCAACTACTAGGAACTGGTTGAACCTAGTCCACGCGCTCCCACCCCTAAGGGGCCCTAATTCACCTAAAGTCCATGGACCCCCTAACCCTAACCCAAACCCTAACCCACAGATTACCTCGAAATAAGATCGAGATTAAGAAAAATTACACCTGGATATAGTAACTAGTGTATTAAAACAAAGGCTGTAGTTAATCAATAATAAATCATTAACGTATTTAACTTATTGATAGCAATAGCTAAGCAAAGGCTATAGTTAATCAATAATAATTCTGAACTTTTTGATGGCCACAACCAAACTTTAACCAAACAAAACGAACATAGGCGTTGGGGGCAAGCCGGTTTGACCGAGATTTACTCACGCATTTTACCTGTATTTTTTCTTTATTTTAGAGTTAGTGCTCGATATGTTTTTGGCGGATTTTCTTTCAGAACATAATTAGTTTTAGAGAATGACCTGAAAGCACTTCTTGTGAGATCGGCTTATGTGATTAGTCAAACCCTCTAAAAGCTTTACCTTTTATACCCTTGATTTTGTATTTTGTATATATGCTTTGACAGTACCCGGATGAGCAAACTATCTGTGTTTGACTATATGAAAGTTGTCGAGTGTTTAAAGTCTTCACAATACCAATGAAGATGAGTGATTCAAGACTGAGCAAGGTGTACCCTGTGACTGCGGTGTTTCAATACTAAGCAGTAGATCTCATTGAAATATATTTATATAAGCTATGTGTGTACATACTTATATATATTTCACAATTGATCTTATGATGGACCGAAAATAAACATTATAAATCATGTCCTTGGTCCAAATTGTACTATTTATAGAAAAAATCCTTAGCGGACGTTGACAACAGACGAATAGTTATTGCGAAATTTCTTTTTCAATGTGTCATCTAAAAAAATCCCTGCCATTAATTTTTTAACAGCTCCCCAAGTTAGCTTTTTGGGAGGTGTTAGGAAACTACGGATTAAAGCAAAAAAGAAAAACGAAACATATCGATTCTTTATGAGGCCAAACAAATAACTAGTTCAAGCAGCTTAATTAACATTTAGAACATTCCGTTTTTAATTCAACTATTTCACGTAGATATATAGGTGCGCGGTAATTAGGTCACAGGAAATTCGGTCACCGGAACTTTGGTCACAGTAAAAAGGTCACACGGTAATTTGGTCACAGTAATAAGGCCACATGGTAATTTGGTCACAGTAAAAGGGTCACATGGTAATTTGGTCACAGTAATACGGTCACATGGTAATTTGGTCACACGGTAATTTGGTCACAGTAATATGGTCACACAGTGATCTGGTTGAGGCAAAACTAGTAAAATGAAATTACTGGTAACTGGTGTAGTGATATTTATTTCATAATACATAATGTAGTGTTCTGCTTGCCCTCTGCCCGAGATGGATGGACCTTGTGGGGCCCTGAACGGTCGAACAGTATTTGGTATACCTGTCAATCTGCAGCTATATAGTTATTGCTGATACAACCGCCACCGGTCTGCCTTTTAAGCTTGCAAGCCATACCACCGTTTAACCTTTGCCGACTCTCGCCATTCCAAATTACAGAATTCTCACTCACTGAATGCAGCAATAACTCGGAACGCGTTCGATTTAGTCGGATAGACATTAGCGGGTATCAAGATGATACCAAGCATACCAAGTTTCAATCAATTCCGATAAAAATTGTAGTCTCTGTACTCTATATAAGTCAATTTTAATGAATTTTACGCAAGGGCAATAACTCCTGAAGCCTTCACGGAAAAAAGCTGAAAATCGAAAGGAAGTTTCATTCAAATCAGATAAAAATTGTAATCTCCACCGTGTTCACAAGCCAAATTTAACGCGTTTTGAGCGCGTCAAGGGCAATAACTCAGAAAGCGTCGGCCGGAAAATACTGAATATCGAAAGGAAGCGAGATCTCATGGATATACATACACATGCCAAGTCATCAAAATCCGACTCTAGCCTCTAACGTGTTCACAAGCAAATTGTGGACGAACCGACGGACGGACCGACGGACAGACGACAGGGGCAACGCCAATATACGTCCGCATTGTGATGTGGGCGTATAAAAATATGTATAGAAATAATAAATGACGCCGAGTGAAGCGAGGCTCGAAAAACTTTCGGGAAAATTAAATTAAATTCGGAGATTTAAAACGAGCCCTATATTTTCAATGAAAAGCCCATGTTCCATTATACGTAGCTACTATGAATCGAGGGCTCCCAAGTATTTGATCCGTCGGGCCCAAGCATTTTCGAACCGGGCCCATAGAGTTCTTTCCTTGGGCCCCAGAGAGTTAATCTTGCCCTCAGGGGCCAGTTTCTCGAAATCTTAACATAAAAGAGTTTCAGATTTGAAGAAATGGAGTCATTTGATTGGTTGATATTGCCATATTTAAGATCGATTTTAGGGATTGACCAATCAGAGAACTAAAATACTAAAATTGCATTCTCTGATTGGTCAATAACTAAAATTGATCTTAAATATGACATTATCAACCAATCAAACGACTCCATTTCTTCAAATCTGTAGCATTGATAAGTAATATTTTGAGAAACTGGACCAAGGTCTTCAATTCTTAACGTTTTTATGCTTTTGCGGTTTGTCGCCAAGGAGGTCCAACATTCGGATACCGACGTTCAAGTTCAGGTATTTTCAGTAACAAAAAAAAGGTTTCTTATTGTCCCTTTAAAACAAACTTAGCTTACACAATGGGTCTTAGTCATTAGTGAAGAGAGTATGCATAGCTAACTTGGATAGCTTGCATAGGGTTAGATTTCGTCTGACTCGTATAATTTCATGTATTAATGTTATCCTATCATACAGCTGCGTGTTTCAGTTTATGGGTCCCGTTTATCACACAATTAATTGAGAAAAAATCCGATTAGTAGGCTAAAAATTAACAAAACTTTATTTTGGTGGGTGTAGTGTCGGAAGATCGACAAACTCATCCCAATTTTACAACCTCAATCGCCAACCCATCTATTTCAAGCTTGATGTTTTCTGTTATATATTTACAGCTGAACGAAGAAATAGTGCTTTTCATGGTGTGCTTTCTGAGCAATGGACATCACCCTATAGTAGGCAATTATGGAAAAAGTGTCCTAAATGATCTCAGATAACAACACAGGAGTGATTAAGTTTTCCTTCTATAATATCGACCGAGCTTTACATACAGCATTAAAAATAAATGGTATTGCAATAAGTCATAGTATATACTATACTATATTGTAACTATATGAAAGGACATATTCTCTCAAGTGAAACGGTCAATATAAATATAGGTCTTGAACGTAGTATCTTAAAAATGTCACAAATATTCTAATCAATTCTATCAAACCAGAGTCAATTTTGATGTGAAAATAAAAAAAAGTCTTACCTGTAATTAACGTTATAGCAAAAACTGATAATAAAAACACAAACAACCGTTTACACGACGCCATTTTTTTCTTTTAATAAGAAACTAATTAATCAAGACTATATTGTAAAGAGTACTTGTCAATCGCGACATATACTTATATGCCAATATAATATAGTAATGTAATTATAGTTTTGTTATATTACTGGATATCCAAGTTTCACGTGACACTCTCCAACTGAATAAAGGATTACTTATATAACAAAAATCTATACTTTAGTGTCTTCCCTAATTGTAGTTTATTATATTAGGCCGGATTTTAAATCATTGACGTCACTACGGTTATCACAGGTTCGTTATAATATCTTGCGAAACGCCTGTTCAGATAACTGTATTGCGAAATAGTAGTAGATAGGCTATAGAAGAATTGTTTATTAGTGAGGTCATGACATTAGTTAAGTAATTGAAGAAAATTTTTAAAAAATAAATGTATACAAATACGACAATAAGGACAATGAGGGATTATAGCACAGTCGATTGAAGCCCTGGAAACTTTACATGACGTCATTTGATTGGTATTAGAAACTTAATTGTAATACTTGTAAGAAATAGTTGTTTCTTTGTTTCTTTGAATTCAAAATGATAGAGGTTTAAAGATGGGTTCCCTTGTTTTCATTAATGAAAATCAAAATTCTAATACTTATATGAATAGAGAAAAGAGGTGTTCTAATGACTTGGAAAAATACCAGTTTGTCTCACATGTCCATAATTAATTCAAAATTAGCTAAAGTAGAAGAGAATTACCAGCGGAATTCCCACGAGTGACGGATCAAGAACGGTCAAAAAGTCTTTCTTTTGTTTATCCAGACTATACATACATGGAAATTTATGACTCTTACATCAGAACATGATGATATGATTAAGAATACATGATAATGTAATTAAACACCAATTGATCGCATAGTTTGTTTAATTTGACACTAAAAAAATAAGGAAACCCATCTTTAAGAAATGTAAGAATTTTAGATTGACTTTAAGCGTTTCAAGCAAAGGTCCCGTTCCTTACGATCAATTTTGTTGTCAGTAGGATATTTCTTATTGTAAACAACACGATCTTATTGTAAAAAAAAAAAAAATTTTAGAAGCTCTGAACTGCCTAACATTTTTATTTACACAGTCGCTAGTAATTGTCTGCTGACAAGTTCAAGTGTTTGGGTAACTTATTTAGTGAATAGTATTTTTAACTATATTACTTAAAGGGACAGGACAGAATCGTCATTTTCGGGGGTTGATTTGAAGGCTCGAATTTCGACGGTGAGCTGTGAACACTATGATGGTTGAGCTTAGCTAAAAAATTCCCAAAAATAAGGTACTATTGGTCATACGGATGGCACACCTGTCCGTAAAAAATGTTATTTTAAATTTTCAATTACAAATGTAGTTTTTGTTGTAAGATTTTTACATAAACATTCATATAATTTTCGTTTTGGAGTTTACTTAGCAAACAGCAACAAGATGAGTGAGGCCCCTTGGACTTAAGTGGATTGAGGCCTCTCCCCCCGGAAATAGTTTCAAATTCCTTTGATACCTAAAATTAAAAAAAATGAAATGAAATGAATGGAGTTTTACGTCCTACTCTTCTGCACCTTGTGGGCTAATGAAGACGGCCTAAAATTAAATAGACTCCTCTTGTTTATGTTTCGAATTGTACCCGAAGGAGCCTTGCTCGACTTGCTAATTACTCAACAATACTCATCCCACGTTTTTTCAGAATTTCGTTGAGAAATCATAGCTAGTCGTTACACATCCAACACGTTACATCTTTATCATTCCCATTTATTACCATAGCACCGATCTATCTTCGTTATTAAAGATGCTTCTAGGGGGAGGGGGCGATTCCCCCATCCTCCAGAAAAGAGGCTAGACCGACTCTGCCACCCCCCACTTTCGAAGTTTTTATTAATTGTCACTAAGTCGTGTAAGATGTTTGGTGTACCCTCTCTTTAAGGGAGACTGTATCTTTAAAGTTTGTTTTGTTGTTTATATAGATTAGATTATCACAGTGTATATTTATGTGAATAATTTAGGGTCTGGTTAATCGAAAATGTATTGACGTGTAAGTTTAATAGCACGTGCATTGGAATCACAGGGTATGTAAGGCTTGAAGTATGTAGTTTCGTGGCTCATTCTGATTTAATCAGAGTTTTGTCGTTAGTCTGGTCGTTCAGCGTTTCATCGTAGTCGTAGATGTCTTGATAGAAATCCATTAGTTTCCCCAGCTCTACTTTTTGTAATGTAGACTTCAACTAGTCTTGGGTGACATAATGGTCGTTATGGTGTAATCTGTATCCCTATGTGTGTGGTTATTGTGTTATGTGTAACATGTAATCTGTATACAAATGAGTGGTTATTGTGTTGTAACCTGTAATCTGTATTGATATCTGTTACTTGTAATATTGTTTACGGGTGTGAGAGTTGATTAACTACCAACTTAGATCGTAATGTAATTGTACTTATGATGGTGGACAAATCTTATTCTACCGGCGATCTGTTAGCGGTGCAGTAATCGCAAGGTAGCTGAAGAGGATGATCATAAACTGAAATTGGGGGATGGTTGTGTATATATTTATGTTTATTGTTGTTAAATTTGTATAATATGTAAGAGTTGTTGCCGTTGTGTTGTTTCTTTTGGGTGATTCTTAAGTGCGAAGCATTCCGTCAGTCCACCCTGTGACATCAATTAACATAGTGAAAGAATAGCCTGTGCTCCCCCCAACCCCACCCCCTGGAAAATTGTGTGAACTCCTGCTCGCCCCTTCAACTAATGTTTCCTAGTAACGCCACTGCTTATGGACTAAACAGAGCTTCGGCCGAGAAGAATTTTTCTAGTTAAGGGGAAGTAACCTAAACTGAATTCTAATCGCAGAGAAAGCATTGTTAAGCATAAGATGCATCAGTGTTCCAAGTCATATAAGCATGTCTGTACTCGTTTGTAACACCTGCCACGGGTGTAGAGCCCTGGCTCTAGAAATGTTATTTTATATGCGTTTTGCCCTAAAATATGTGTCAGAAGGCACCAAAAATGTGCGGAGAACCTTATGCTTATGCGCTTCTAGAGGTTTTGCATTTTGGATCTTAGAACAAAAATCAAAAACAAACTGTTGGGATCGCTCACGAAAGATTTCAAATATCTGAGGCCCAGAATGAACCATCACCAGCACCTTTTGTAAAGACTGGAAAAGCTTCGTCCTGGCATTACTGCACACCAATTATCAGTCCTGTTGACGTTTTAAGAGACGAGATCCCTTGGTTAACTCGGGTCTATACATTGTCACTTCAACACGTCAGAGGCCAGATGCCTACATATTCATGTGGTATTTGCGGTAAAATGTTCAGGATGGCACGCGTTTTTCAAACAGACCAATCACCACACCGGTTCAAAGTCATTTTAACGGGTTGTTTTGTGAATATGAACACAGGCACGAAACTTCTGATTAATACGAGTACAGGCAGCCCGTCTCGTATAAGAGATTGTTTTGGTGTTTTAAAATTGTACAATTACTTCAAAAATACCTCAATATAGGAATTTCTTTTCCTATTTCTATAGATGTCTTTTCTAAATATGGCAGTGTCTCAAGAAAGACGACTCATCTTTTTAACTTTCAAAATAATTCTGGACTCCCATGGATTTAAAGGCTCAAATTTCGATGGTGGAACACTATTACTGATTGGCTTAGCTAAAACAAATACTACCTGCTTCTGAGAATAAGGTGTGATTGGTCACAAAATGATATAGATATAGATATCAAGTCCTGAACTTGACCATAAAGATATACTTGGTATAGCTATTACATTACCGTTTATATTTGTGCTTTATATCCTTCTGGATTTCAACCACGTAGTGAATGAATGTTGTCTTGCCTGATTTTTTATATTTCTAAATGGCTCACACTCCGAAAACTCAACGAATAGAACACGCTATCCACAATATAGTATGTAAATAGGACACAAACTATTTATAGAATGTACAAAGACCTAGTTTGTATTGCAGATAACAAGTCAATGTATACCGAACTGAGATGTGATCATACATCAAGTGATACAATTTCTTTTCTTATTTCAATAAACAGTTAGGTAAGTAAGATATATATCATATCAATGACTATAATATTGTAAAGCCCGAGCGCGTATGTATCATCCACGTACTGTATAGGTACAAAGGTCAATTGAGCTACCTGTTTGAGTTCGTCTCGTTTCCTTTACTTCTTCTTTTATACTAACCTGGTGTAAGTAACCCAAAGCCGTAGCAAAAGGACGACCAAACTTTAAACTCTTTTCCCTTAATAAAGGTAATTTTGGTGGAAAATTGCATTGGAGGCATTTTTGGCCGCTGAATACAGTTTGCCGTTGGTACACGTCTGACTGTACTTAAATCTTTAAAGACCCTCATTGCCTCATTTAACTCGGATTACGATACGTCTTTGTGACCCTGAGCAAAGTAAAGATACAAAAAATAATATTTGACATATTTACTCTCCGACATTTAGAGTCTTCTGGTAGAACGGTCACTCTCTGTGTCGTGAGAAGGAGACTTTTTGTCTCAACACCTTGCTCGAAGTGTTTACTATTTCTCTTTTCCTTCAAGCTTAAGACGCAGTTAAGTAGCTCAGTGAGTTAGATCTCAGGCAATATGGTGCTTTTAAATTGACAGTACCATTTTGTCTCTCTCTCAATGATGGTATCCGAAGCGGAGACAACAAACCGGAGGCCTATTTCATATATCCATCCCCAACAAACAGGAAACACTAGACAAATCCCATGAAAAGCTTCCGTCCTGATCTTAACTATTAACATAATATTTAATTTCAGAAGAGCATCAAGACTATTAGTGTTTATATAATGGGCTCCCTCGGTCCTCTTCATGGTATTAGAGTTTTGGACATCAGCAGGTATTTCAAATTTAGGGGAAAAACAACAACAAGCTTTTAGTGTATTGCCAAATAAAATTAATCACATTCTTTTACCTAAAAGAAAGATGAGCATTAGACTTATAATGAACAGAAGTCCTAACCATGAACCAAAATCAAAGTTGAGGTCACTGGCAAAGGTGAAAACTGGTTCCAAATAATACTTTTAGTCCCTACTGAACGCCGAAGGTCCCTTTAACTAGATAGTTAAAGTGTTTGCAATCATATGACCCAATTGTGTTCTGTCAAGTTAATCGATGGGACCATTTGCTGGAAGGTGGACGGCATCAAGTTTCCGGAACATTAATGTATGCTAAAATGACATGAACACTTATTGGGTTAACAATGTCATGGGCAAGTGAAAAAAGCAAATTTCACCAATTCCTCTTTGATATTTGTATTGGTGGTATTTCATGTTGATTTTTCAACCGAATGAAGTGAATTTCCAGGTTTTTACACATTGAAATTTCTGGACTGTCGCCCTGATCTCCCAACAACTGATCAAATAGTATTGTTATAATACCTCTGAAGATGACCACAAAAAAATTGAAATTTTAAACCAGACCAAAATAAGTCTGTTCATCAGTGGACTATACATCAGTATCCCTTTATAATCCAATAAATCCATAAAACTTAGTAATAACTACAACTGGTGAATGTTTATTCTCAATGACCAGGTCTGAGATTTAAAATTTTATGTCCATTTTAAGAGTAATTTTAAAAGTATTCCTTAAAAATGGTGATTGTTTTATATAAATCAGGGTGCTGGCTGGTCCTTATTGTACAATGATTATGGGTGATATGGGAGCTGAAATAATCAAACTGGAGAGACCAGGTAAGGACAACAGTTGTTAACGAATTACAACAATCTACAGCGAATCGCAGTTACAGAAAATGGCATATCTCAAGATAAATACCGATAAAAGCAATTCTTTATTTCCTTGACTTTACTATTTTGATAAATTGGAAAATATAAAAACTTTGACAACGAATATCGAAATATCAGACTGATTTTCGTTATGTTCCTAGATAAACTTCATTTCCATAACTTGAAAGGCATTCTGGAAAGTGCTTCTCATTATCAGCCATGGTGCTAAAATATATCTGTTTTTAATAGGTGCTGGAGATGATACTAGATCATTTGGTCCACCATTTTGTGGTAAAGAAACGGCGTATTTCTTTTCTGTTAACCGAAATAAAAAGGTAAGTGGGGGCTTGTTTTCTGTCTGTTTTCCAACACAGAACGGAACTCTTCGAAATGGTTCAAAGATCTCTTGAGATTTCATGATAACAAGATTACAAATTCACTGGTTGTTGAACTTGATTTCAGCTAAAAATTATACAATTATTTGCGTTTATGCTGAAACAGCCGAATGTTGAATGTAAGTACAACCATATTTCTTATGATATTTCAAATGATTTGAAATGTAATGTAACAGAACATGTTTCTTCTGTTACACTGAATTTATTCTAGTAAAGGTCATACTTGATTGTTATAGTAATACATCCAGAGGGGCAATAGGGTATGGTCTTTAGTTAAAGTAATGAAATTGATCGATTGTCAGAATATGTTAAGGGGGTTGGGGATCCATTCCGCCTTCCTTATGGGCCTGGCGAAGGTGTTGAACACCAGTTTTCTCTATTTCAGAGTATAGCTGTAGATATGAAACATAAAGAGGGAGCACATATTGTACAGGAGGTAAAAATTTTCTGTCATGCAAGGCAGATGTGACTGTAGACTCCTCGATGGTGGCTAGAGGCGCATCTCTCTTGTATCTCGTTATGGTGCAACAAACTTTTGTCTGAGTTGGTTATAGCCCAACAGATATGACTCTACACGTACCGTTCGAGGAACGGGTGGGGCCAGAGTTGTCTCAGTTGAATATTTGAACATTTCTAAAGTCTAATGGATTGGAATTCTCATTCCCGACATCGAACTTTTGAAATGAAATTGAAATTTTGAAATGATAAAAAAAGTGATATTTTCAGCTGGCGAAGAAGAGTGATGTATTGATAGAGAATTATATACCTGGTAAACTAGGAGAGATGGGACTAGGATATTCACAGATTAAACAGATAGCTCCACAGTTAATATACTGCTCCATATCAGGTATATCAAACCTACTGTCTTCAGACTTCAGTTAATATTGGTCTATATCAGGTATATCAAACCTACTGTCTTCAGACTTCAGTTAATATTGGTCTATATCAGGTATATCAAACCTACTGTCTTCAGACTTCAGTTAATATTGGTCTATATCAGGTATATCAAACCTACTGTCCATCGTCCTCAGTTAATATACTGCTCCATATCAGGTATATCAAACCTACTGTCTTCAGACTTCAGTTAATATTGGTCTATATCAGGTATATTGAACCTACTGTCTACCGTCCTTAGTTAATATACTGCTCTATATCAGGTATATTGAACCTACTGTCTTCAGACTTCAGTTAATATTGGTCTATATCAGGTATATTGAACCTACTGTCTACCGTCCTTAGTTAATATACTGCTCTATATCAGGTATATTGAACCTACTGTCTTCAGACTTCAGTTAATATTGGTCTATATCAGGTATATTGACCCTACTGTCTACCGTCCTCAGTTAATATACTGCTCTATATCGGGTATATCAAACCTACTGTCTTCAGACTTCAGTTAATATTGGTCTATATCAGGTATATTGAACCTACTGTCTACCGTCCTTAGTTAATATACTGCTCTATATCAGGTATATTGAACCTACTGTCTTCAGACTTCAGTTAATATTGGTCTATATCAGGTATATTGAACCTACTGTCTTCAATCTAGTCTTCTATCTATCAAGTGGGGTTTCCCGCGTCCTTGACCTCTACTCTTGAATTGACCTCGACATTGTCTTACCTATTTTGAAGACGGAATAATAATACCTCGTAGGAGATTAAGCGACTCCGCGAAAAAGCTATTAATATAATTTAGAATGAATACTCCACCACTGACACAATTTTCAACGAATATTAATCATTGTCACAGGCTGTTTGTATACAACGGAAGATGATTGTTTCCTGTTTTAGCGTTGATTACCCACACTCTTTTTTTCTCAAACTGAACGGATTCATCGCTTGCTCATTTTTTTTAAAATTCTGATTATAGTTTTATTGTCGATTTTTCAAACTTGATAAAGTGTGGGATGCATACTTATTTAACCAATGGTCACTATTAAACACAAATATTAGCCACAGGACGGGTGTATTCTAAGACGTAGTATCCCTTTAATATACTGCTCTATATCAGGTATATTACACCTACTGTCTTTCCCGAAGCTAGACCATACCATAAATATTTTCCCTCTATTTTAGTGAGTGCAAGTTTTAATTTTTCTTTCAAAAATTAGGTTATGGCCAAACTGGACCTTATGCACACCGGGCTGGGTATGACGTGATAGCATCTGGAATTGGTGGACTCATGCACATCACTGGACCTCAAGTGAGTCATTTTTAAAATAATCATATACAAATATCAACTTTTTTATCCATTGTTTCATCTACTGGTATTGGGTACCCATTTTAACCTTTCATAATCTGTTAAATCCACTTTTAAACCTTTGTTTATTTCACTAGGATGGAGAACCATGTAAAGTTGGTGTGGCGATGACAGATCTGTCTACAGGGTTGTATGCCTATGGCTCAATACTAGCTGCTGTATTAGAACGACAAAAAACAGGGCGGGGGCAGCATATAGACTGTAATCTGCTGTCAACACAAGTGAGTTTTAGGTTGTGTTTTTGCAGATAATGTGTAGATAATTACATTTGAATTCCAGGTATGAGTTTCACGTGGTTTAACTCCACATCCCATGCACATGGGCGATATTTTCCTTTATGCAAATAAAAAAAAACAAGCGTAATCCTGCGATATTATGCTGATGTTATACTGTACAAACAGCACAATATTCCCGTCAATAAGACATATCACCCCTATTGTGCTACCCACCCAAATTTTGTTTTCCGAATATACTGTCCTGAATTCTGTCTAGAAGTCTTTAGCCCAGTGTAATAAACAAGTTGTTCAATCTATTATGATGTTCAATCTATTATGATGTTCAGTCTATTATGATGTTCAATCTATTATGATGTCCAATCTATTATGATGTTCAATCTAGTATGATGCTCAGTCTATTATGATGTTCAGTCTATTATGATGTCCAATCTATTATGATGTTCAATCTATTATGATGCTCAGTCTATTATGATGTTCAGTCTATTATGATGTCCAATCTATTATGATGTTCAATCTATTTTGATGCTCAGTCTATTATGATGTTCAGTCTATTATGATGTTCAATCTATTATGATGTCCAATCTATTATAGTTTTCAATCTATTACGATGTTCAATCTATTATAATGTTCAACCTATTATGATGTTCAATCTATTATGATATTCAACCTATTGTTATGACCAATCTATTATGATGTTCAATCTATTATGATGTTGAACCTATTATTTTTGTTAGTAGGTGGCGTCACTAGTCAACATCAGTTCAAATTATCTAAATGCTGGAATGGAGGCTAAACGATATGGAACAGCACACGAAAGTATCGTCCCCTATCAGGTATATATCAGCCTTGGCGTCCTGTACCAGGTGTTACGTGTGTTCTCACGATCCACCCTAAATATGAAAAAAGTTCATGGGCGGTAGGGCAGTTGTTTTGCTTGACTCCATGCACGTCGCTCTTCCATTAGAACATTCTATTATCCCTAACTTGTCGTACTAAAACCCTTGGATATTGAATGTCTATATTAATTACAGGGTATACATACAAAAATTCAGAAAAGTGTTCTGAAAGTATCAGCATATGATTCAATTCAGATGTCTCATCATTGATTCATTGTTATCTTTACAGGCTTTCGAGACGAGTGATGGGTATATTATAATAGGAGGTGTCAATGATAATCAGTTTAGAATAGTCTGTCAGGTAGTGTACTCACAATCACCCTAACACTGTCGGTAAATCAAATTTTGCCGAATTTTTTTTTAAGTGAATTGGACTATTAACTTAAATATGGTACTGTTTGTCCTAAATAACTTTTCATTGACAAAGATATAAAATATGTAAGATTAAAATGAATAGACACAAATTGCAGAGTGATAATGTGTGCTCATATTTATATTTTATCTAGTCAATCTGAGACTAAAAGTTTAATGTTGGTATTCCATTTTTTACGTAAATATCAATATTTTTTGTTTTTGTAAACGCTGAATATGTGATATCAGATGCATAGAACCTTCTTACTAGCTCCACATGCTGTTATGTACCATTAGAAAGAACTCAGCCATCCATATAATAACTCTTCCCACAGAAATATGTTGACGATTATATCCCTTCAACTGTTGTATAACAAGTAATATAATTACAGAGTGTAAATGAATGCTAATTATCGTGTTTTGTTTTATAGAAAATAGAATTAGAAGAATTAGCCACGGATCCTAGATTTATAACTAATAAACAACGAGTTGTTAATAGGAAGGAATTATTGGACTTAATGACTAATCGGTAATTAATGATTTTATTGTTAATTTCATGGGAAATAATTTTCCATATTTTTCTCATTCACCTGGAAGATCTAAAAAAGAATTTTCTTTCAATAATTTATAAAACAGTATAACATGAAACTCATTTCCTTTCATTAGCCCATTAAGGTACAGAACAGTAGGATGTCAAATTTCGTTCCGTTACAGAGTACATCGCGTAGCTCAGAATATCGTTTAAATAAACTTGGCGCGATATGTTGATGCCACGATACGCGTATCATATCACGAAGTCGTGTATCGTTACTTGACGATACCTTTGATTGCATAAAAGGGAAATTTTTATAATTTTGTGGATGGAATAAAAAGTTTTTTCACTGACTTGACTGAAATTATCAAATATCTCTGTTACAAAGTTAAAAATCAATATGTATTGAAACTCGTGCATGAATTTGTAACTTGTTACCCCATATCGCTATACATATTGTATCGTATCGTGACCCTTGTATCGCGAAACGTAACGTGGCATATTTAGCTATACCCATCACCGGCGTTAATGAATGATTGCACAAATTACAATTTTGCTTGTTTACAGTTTTAAAGAAAAATCAACCAACGAGTGGTTGGATATATTTGAAAATACTGGTATACCATATGGTCCTATAAATAATATGCAACAAGTCTTCTCTGATCCTCAGGTACAAAAGTATTTTTCAGTAAATAAAAACATGGTTCCTAAATTTATGGGTATCTTCGAACCCTTTTCTTTAAATTTAGACATCCCTGACAACTTATTATCTAAAGACGTTTGATTACAAAATATGTAATCCACAATGCCTTTTTGATGAGTTGGACGCGACTTTAGTGAGTTAGACGCATGATATCATTGATAACATGGCGGCCAGTGTTTTGAATTGCCAACATTGCAGTTATCTCCCTTTAGTTGATTTTTAGCAAGATCACGAGATTCGGACACAATTGCAAGATATTAGTATTTTTTATAGTTGTACCATCAGCACACAATTTTAAACGACAATAAAAACGAAGTTTATATAAGATGAAAATAATGCGTCTGAGTGGAATAGGCTGACAAATGGGCGGTTAAATTGTCAACTATATGTTGCAATATATTGACAAAATAACTGTTTAACTATGATTTTTCTGCATCCTGTAGGTTCTACACAATAATATGATTCAAGAATTAGACCATCCAACAGCTGGAAGAATCAGATTACCTGGTGTGTTTTGTTTTAATAAAATGAGTATTATATATCTTAATTATATATTTATTGTTAATTATATGCCCCTTTCAATGCCTACGATAAAAATATTCATGGGGAAGGGAAGGGCGACAAACTAGTTTTGCTATGGTATATTATTGCTGACATGCTTTACCCTTATTGGGGCAGCGGTCAATTCCTGATCAATAGTTAATGTTGACTATATCTTTATTTTGTAGGTCCTGCTGTGAGGTTTAGTGAAAGTAAGACAGTTGACCCGCCACTATCACCTCCTACCCTAGGTCAACACACTCAAACTGTTTTATCTGAAATATTACACATGGACCAAGACAAGATCATCCAACTTCTACAGGATCGGGTCATTCAATAAAGAATAATATTTAATTCGGGTTATCTTTTATGAATGAATGTAAATATTATGTAATTTAAAGCCGTTGCGTATAGTAAAGGGAGTCTATATTAAGAGTGAAGAAGTTCCTAAAACTCCTATGTTAAACACTGGGCAAGGTATCAAATAAAGAGATCCGCTATATATAAACTAGGGTGGAGTTAACAGGGTTAGTGTATAGTTTTGAACATAAAAACCGTCTCTACCCTTATCTACACAATAAAACTTATCAAATTTTCTTGTCTTCAAATCCGTATTTGTAACTCAGTGAGTTAAACGTATGCTCACTAAAGAGTTCTTTATCGTTTATCATTGCATAGGGTAAGATTTTCTGCTAGGATGCCGAAATCAAGACACAAAGGCATTGTCGCGGAATCCGTCAGTTTTTTGGCTCATTTATTTATTCAACGTACATAAACTAATGAATTTATAAACATAACCATCAACAAATTGTACACAAAGCTTTTTGCAAAATATGGAAAAAATATAGATCCTCTATTCTGGGTATGAATTTGTCTCAAAATTCTAGAACTTTTAATCCATTCTAAAATATAATAAAAACACTTCTTTTGTGTCATTTTTAACGTTGATGCTCTTGTAGGTTGGGAGCCACACAGTGGACCGTACTCCTGGCTAAAGGAGCTTATTATTTCTATGATCCGACAAGAGTAAACCATACCATCTGACATGAAACATATTTTGCCCAATTTTCCTTAAAGATCTTGGCTGCTATTAAAGTGTTTTTCACTAATCAAGGATATTCATTTACACAATTAAGCCAGTCGAACTGATCGTTATTATTTACAATGTGTGATTTAATATCAAATAATGTTACAAACATTCCAATTAACACAAATTTACACCTGGGTAATATTAGGCGTATATAACAGAACCAAAACGATCAGGGTCCAACAAAAGCCAATAGGATCTGACATCATTGGTGAAGCCTCCAAAGAATTCTGAAATTTGAAGCTGATATAGAATAAGGTATAGTACTTCGTTTATTATTAGAGATTTGAGAGATTGATACATTCTACTGATCCACAGTTTAGAGAGTTAATGATGGCCAATGATCTTCTTTAGGGTTTACCTGTACAGGATCAGGATGGTCTCTTATCATTCACAAAGGAACATTTGTATGCATCAGTAACTGTTTATATATTCTTTGGAAAATTGAAACATTTCACCGCGCTTATTTAAAAACTACTAAGTTTTACCACATTGCTGATCTTAATCCATTTGATTTTGCAAGTTACATGTATTTGTATGATAGTGACTGTAAAATGTCATGGTTCTTGTTCGCACATTCCCTTACTATTATACACCTGGCCTAAATAGTACCTCTTTAAATTTAGGTTGAACAACGCCATGGATTTGCTGAACAATATTACAACGATGATGATGAACAGCACAATGACAACTGACTCTGGCACAGGAAACGACTCGAGTATGATGGAAACCACCACAGCTAATGATGCTAATAGCAAGCTAAGATATTTATCAGAGGACAGCAGTCTGGAAGAGTATTTAGAATTTCAAGTTGCTTGGGGTATGGATATTGGATTCACCCCCATATGCTCCACGTTAGGTATTTTGGGTAATATTCTGTCTATGATCGTGATGTTGATGAACAAGAAATCCACATCTTACCAATATCTAGCCATGATTGCTGTCACCGATGTTCTGGTTCTGATTCTGAATATAATGTTCATGGCAAGAAAATTCCCGGGCCATGAAATTTTCCACGAAGGAACATGCGGTTTGATATTTTTCCTGATGTATTTTTCAATCCATTATAACGTAGCTTTATTAGTGACAATGACTTTAGAGAGATTTGTAGCTATCAAATATCCATTACATGCGCAGAATTGGTTCACTATCCGACGTGCCAGAATTGTCATCATTGTGGAGGGAATCCTAGCTTTTGCTTTCGATTTCCATAACTTCTTTACGAGAAAGATGATCACTGATGAAGACACTGGCCTAGAGATGTGTTCTCAAGAAGGTGAACTTAACATTTTCTTCATCAGAAAGGTCTGGCCATGGTTCGATGCAGTGGTATATTGCTATTTACCTCTCACCTGTTTGTTTACCCTAAACATTCTTATTATCAGAGAGGTAAGACAGGCTGGACACAATCAAAGACAACTGACTAAGTCGAATTCGACTGGTGGCGAAGAAAACAAGCAGACCACGGAGAAAAAGAATCAAGAACGACAGATTACTATTATGTTGCTTCTGGTGTCATTCTGCTTCCTGATATTCGTCAGTCCAATGGCGGTGATTATTGTTGTCGAGAGATATTACTGGATCCCTACTGAACCTCATGATAAAGCTGTTTACCATCTGGTCCGCACCATCACCAACCACATGATGTACCTGAACCATTCTCTAAACTTCCTTCTGTACTTCATCAGCGGTCGTCGATTCCGGGATCAGTTTAGAGCCGTCTTTTGTAAATGTTTGAAAGATCAAAACAAGACCAGCAGGCCAAACTTGTACAAGATTGAGGATGGGAACAAAGCTAAAAATCAGCCACTTGCAGTGATTGCCCAGTCCACAAGCAGTGTTGATAGCGGTATAAAGAACAACAGTTTCATCAGTTCACAAAATACCCTTTCTTCTTCTGTTAGACCGGAATCATCCTTGTCAGAGACGGCACCGGAAGTACACATTTCATCATCACCTGAAGAGTTACCTCCCCCACCCCTAACATAATAACCCGACGATAAAATGAACGTATAGACATTTCGCATATTTGAAGTTTTTGTATACCCGAGAGAGGATGTGCTCATCTCTTAAATCATCTTTAAGTGTTTTTTATCAAATGTGGTTGACTTCAGGGTTAGATATTTGTTTTGCAGATCCACTTCAAAACATAAACACGAGCACTGCACTTTATTAATCGAAACACATATGATATATTTATTTAAAAAATGTCAACCCTCTAGAGAAATTGTAAATTTCTGTCTCTCTGTGCCAGATTTGGTGTAATGAAGACATACTTGCAGTGTACATTGCTGCATTGGGAAACATTTGTATGGACAGTGTCCGAAGCCTCGTATTCTTCCATGTCCATCAGTCGAGAAATCTTTAAAGTATCTCTGTGTATATCTTTGTAACTAGTTTCATACATGTAAATATTAATTTATTGCTTATTGTTAAATGTCACGAAATATAAATCATTCAAAACTATTTTATTTCACTTTTTATACAAGTACAGTGTACTCGGTGATATCCGACATCTGAGTATTCCGTCATTCTGCGTAATCCGACATCATTTTCTGGTCCCGATTGTTTTCCTCTTAGTCTAGTTAAAAAAAATTCCGAGTACTCTGTGTATTCCGAATTTCGACACTAATCAATGGTCAAGTCACTCCCGACATCATCACTGCATGATGCCAATATGCCATCTTGTAACGGTACGGTAACGGAACATTAAGATCTTTCAGCTCGGTTCCTATGTCAATGATTTATGACAAATGACAAATAGGGTGTTTATCTATCTTCCAGAGGGTCCATATTGCCTGAAATGTTTTTCGTACATGTATGCAGATCAATAACGGAATACTGGCATATATATAAAATCGCTATGAGGGACGGCGAATACATTGAATCTTGGTCTTCTTTGTACTATAATCTGCATAAATTAATCTTGTAAAGATGTAATGAAAGTTTCTAATCACTAATTATAGCGCCGTGGTTTTTGACAGGATAAATGATATTATGTCACAATTTGACATTTCAACAACTAATATTAACCGTATTTCGTATCATATTTCATATATTAAAAATCAGTTTGAATTAGTAAATTATATACGTTGTCTCTGATTATTATTGACTTTAATCTAAGTCCTAGCGTGGCGTGACGCAGCGTGACGGGATGTAGCTCATAATTATCATATACTTCAAACGTTCAAATCAATTTGTCGTCGGTCGAAGGGAAGCCCATTCATTAATTCAACTAATAGATGAAACTAACCTCATTATCGAGCTTGAATGAAGAACATTGCGATCAAAACAAAAACATGTCGCTATCAGAGTTCATAAAGGTAGCGACGATTGCTCTCTTATAAGAGGTACAGCAGGAAGTACACCTGGGCAAAACAAATTTTGGTGGCTGCTATTTTTGTTTACATCACATGCTTTCAGATGGATCATCGACAAATACCCGTATACTACCGAAATTTCAGCGCATTCAGGAAATTCAGAGTGAAAGCGCTATCTTTATATTTTGTGTGTTCTTTTCTGAATGCATTATTTTGATATATACCACCCAAGAGCAGAACTTTAATCAGTTTCCCAATAAATATAACATATGGCAACTTAAATTGACAAAATAATGATTAGAAAATATCCTGGTCCAAAGCCTCAAATAAAACCAAACGAGGCCCCGTATGCTTCAGCCCATGCACGTTAAAGATCCCTTGACTTGGAAATCGAAAAAAGCAGGTCAATACCGCTGTCGTAAAATTTCCCTCATTGCACCCTGCATGGTGTTACCCGTCTTCATAAGCCCACATGATGCAGAAAAGCAAAACGTAAAACTCCATTCATTTCATTTCATGTTTGAAAATTATGTAATGAAACATGACGACATAAAAAAATATTTTTTGAGAAAAAGGCATTTTATCTTTATATTATCGATATATACATAATATATATATATAAATATATAGTCACGATGCCGTGAACCGTTAAGTATGTTTCAGAAGGATTCAGTATAGCTTTTCTCTATTTGTGGCAAAAAAATTAATTATTAAGGTTGAAATAAAGATGTTAAGAGTCAAAAGCTCCGTTAGGACGGTACCAAGTGTAAAATCACCATTTTTTTTTACCGTTTACACTATTACAATTTCGAGCGTTCATAGAATAGTTCTAAACCAATAGTGTAAACGATCTGCTGTTTGAACACAGAAATGATAATTTTTATAATGTAAACGGGTCTATAGTCACCGCCATTAGTAAGGTAAACGACAATGCGAGTTGAAGACAATATCTGGTGTGGTGGAATGAATTAAATAATAAGCTAGATGAACTAGGTAATATCAGTATGAACCTCATGCAGGAACTGTGTTAGTATTAGATTATGTATTATCAAATAATTAAATTTATCTATTTTAGACTTTATTACCTCGCGGCACTTCGGTATTGCTTTATACACTGTCCAATCCATTGTTTCAATACAACAAGAAGGAAGTCGGGATTCCCTGGTCGAACTTGAAAATAACCTTTTTATCTAAGTTGAAGACGATCTGCTGTACAGTCGATAGGAGCGTTAAACGTCGTTTTATGGTTACGTCAAACATATTTTAGTCGTGGGTTATAATCTCGGTCGATGTGCGAATGTCTGGTCACCTTGAATAATTCACCTTTCTTTATTTCTTCCACATGACCCAACTGGCATAGATCAATGCCAAAATTTCTTATAAAAGTTGTTAATTCTTTAATTACCCTTATACAAACAGTGCACATATTGTTCCTAATTCACTAAAAGAAATTTGGATCAATATTTCTGTGTAAGTGTAAATTTAAATGTTTAAATCACACGTATGACAAAATGTAGAAGAATTTTTCAGCAACGCCCATGTGTTGTAAAGCCAGTCTTGATTAGACTAATGAGGTGCAGATGCAAAAATATTAATTCATTGAGTTTCATTTAGTTTAGTTTACACTCAATTCGATCGATAAAGTTTTCAATTTGTAGATGGAACTGATTGTCTTTAAGAATATTCAAATCAATAAGAAAATATGATATGAAATATAATTATCAAAACTAGTAATCATAAAGGTTGCCGCATAAAGGAAGACCTCCCATATTGGACAGCTTAGATTCTAGTGAACTTATCGGAAGCCCACAGGTAAGATTGAAGCTTGGTATTTCGTCAGGAGGACATTATTTTTCTCGTCGTTTGTGTTTCAAATTTATTTCAAATTTAATGTTTTAAAAATATAATTTAAAAAGCACAAATTTCTTAAAGTGATTTTCATTTTATGTATACTAGGTCCAGTCGAATCATAGACATACCGCTTCAAATTTCAATCGGTTAAGATTTTCAGTATCGAATATACATTTTGTGTGTGGCCTCATCTGACTGTACCACAGGCTATATACATTCTTGATGTGTGTGATTTCAGCAAATCGTCAGAAGAGTCTTGAAACATGGTGCTTTATCCTGCAACACAAAATAAGAAATGTTGGGCTCTAATTATGACCCTGTTCTTCTATAGACTGATGTTTTTGACCCGACTACGCAAAACGAACAGTTTATGTCAAAACTCCGAAAACTAGAAACCACCAATTACTATTAAATTATTACCTTCATTTTATGGTAAACTAAGTCCACGGACAAATGTTTGGTGTTGATTACTTTCATTTCTTAAATATCTATATTAAAATTACTGCAAAAACTAACAATGTTTCTGCGATGTTGATAAAAATTTATATATCGGTGCTCCAAAGGGTGACACGATATTTTTAACGATTTCATCCAACTGGACAGGACGTAATGAGCTCTATGATCGTTATCATTAATACACCCCTTCACATACATGAATTTTCTTAAGAATCCTTACGGAGCGCCAACTCTTAGTCAACCGTAAGCATCATACGAGTAACTACGATGTATTTACGAAAAAATTCGATTGCTGTAACGGATAATTAAGAGCAACCTAAGGACATTTCAAGGAGTTGTATAATGGTTGTCACGAAAAGTTATTTACAAGTGTTTAGTCTTATCGATTTCGAGGCTGTTATACCTTTCCCCAAATAGAAAAATAGACATAAGAATACATATCTACTCAAATAGTTCTCGGAACTATAAGAGCAGTGCTCGTAATATCTCGCACAAATCGTAATATATCGCAAAATATTTTGGAGCAATTTACGTGTAGTTATGTGTAGTTGCGATTTGTTTACGAGCAGTTTGTGATATTAAAGGATTGTTAGGAGTTTAATAAGGAAAAATTAATCATGAACAATCATGTGAAGAGTTTTGAAATTCGGTCCTTGATTAGCAAACCTTAAACAACCGCATAAACCACAATTTACCGATTACAGTTGTCATATAATCCGCAAAACGCCTATAAATACGCCGAAAGAGTGTAAAAAGTGAAAATCGCCTAAAGTGCTCATTTTTTTGGAAAATAGTAGCTATTAGTGTATAACAAGATGCAAATGGGTTTATCTCTTGGACTTTTTGTTAAACCGATTTACATTCATAATCAGTTGTTTTTTCCTCTTTCTCACAGTAAAAAATAATGAGAGAGTTTACACCTTTTTGAGTGGAAACTAAGTTGCCACCCAAAATGGTGTAATCTTACACCACGTTTAGTGTTGAATTATTACACAATGTTGGTGCAAGTTTACCATATCTTCTGGGTATCCTTACACTAATACGGGTGTGTTAGTTGGTAAGGCGAAGAGGTGTAAACTCTGAATACACTTTGTTAAGTGTTACTGTTTACACGGTTGTTGGTGTAGGTTATGAGTGTATACACCCGGTATGCTTGTTTTACACACACTCGGTGTAACCTTATACACTTCTTAACGTGTAAAATATGTGAATTAACACCAATTTCGGTGCTTATTTTACACTTTATCCAAACTTATACACTTTTAAAAGTGTAAATGTCTACACTTAGATTTGGGTAGATAGAGTAAACACCAATATCGGTGTTATTGAATACTTCTTTAAAACGAATACGATTTCAATAGCGTAAGATGTAAGGTGTGGGTGTAACCAATTTAAGGGCTGGGTAACACCTAGCTCAAACGATCTAATAAGTAAGCTTAGTAATGGGTCATTTAACACACATGTCTTGAGTTGAAATAGGTCTGATCTCTACAGCACTGTATACCTAAATAAAAGAACATTTTTCATTTAAACTTAGCTAAGTTTATTCATGATGTGACATGTTTTAAACAAAAATCTGATTTATCTTCAACAGAAAAACGAAAATAAATGATATAATTCTTTCACAAAACTGTCTTTGTCAATAGTCAAATTAATAACAATGTAGAAGTTTTTTGATGAATGAAAATCACCAATGCTAGCAATGTAAGGAGATGGAGCTGCTGATCTATCAAGTATATTGTCTCATGAATCAGTTCCTGAAATATAACAAGGACATTGTTGTTTTTACATTTTCTTGATAAGATTGAAAAATTCAATCTTGGCTTGACCTTGCAAGATTTAACAGCTAAGATCTCTCTCCTCTCAGTAACATATGGATTGTATTTGCACACAAAATTAGGTTAGTTTTAAAGCTTTTGATACATAACTTGTCAGCAAGAAAAATAAGTACACTGGCAGCTTTGTGTAAAATTAAAAATATCAATCAAATTAAACTTGTTCAGAAATGTACTCTATAAGTAATTTTTATCAGATGGAAAGGCCACCAGATGATATGTATGCTCTACATTACAATTTACCACTATACATAAGCAGTTACCAAGGCAAGTTTTGGACCGACAGGTCTACCTGTCAGTCTTGAACATAAAATTAGACACAAGAGTATATTTATTCATCAGTGGACTTACCTGGTGTCATATCCATTTAACAAAATCCTTTTAATCTAATTAAAATCCATAAAACTTAGTAACTATCCATTAACCAACTGATACAAAAGGCTTAATATTTCCTGAATTGAAAGAGAACACATGCATCCTATTGTTTATGTTTAAATTAATCATATGACTTTTTGTAACTTTAAATTGCAAAAAATTACACTTCAGTCCCTTTCAGGATAGAAATTTCCTTGTGAAATATCGGTTGAACTGAGAAAGAGACCCCTGTATTTTAAAATGACGCTTCGGAGTGAGCAAGGCAAAGGTTTTCTTCTTCGAATATTTTCTCTATTTCCCAAATAATACTGTTTGGCTTAGATAAGAATGTATTTACGTTGATAAAAATATGATTGTAAGTTTACAATGAAAAGAAATATATCCCCATCCCCCCCTCCCAAGAAATTTCAACCAAAAAATGAAAAATTTTGTCTAAAAATTGACATAATGTGAGCTCATGTTCAATTTTTATAAACGCAAAGATTAACAGTACCTATTTTTGGCTGTAATTCCAATTCACATAAAAAAACCACGTTTTTAGTCTACTTTCACTTTGCTCAGACAATAGACTTTCTAATAAGTTTATCAAACAAGCAATAAAACGATTGAGTCTACTATCTGGACTGCTAAAATAAAATTTGATGATCACACCGATTAAGAGAAAATTCAAAATCATGGTCATATTACCTGCTGCTTAGTCTTCCATCATGTCCATCTTGATGTGCCAGTGTCTAGAGCTGTAAATCTATCTTGCGCCATTTTTTTCTGAGACTGGAATGTACTCAGCCGAACTTTATTGGGAAAATCACGGCCTCTTAGATCACGTGACATACGACTGATGAAATACGACTGATGTTTGGGTGCCGTTCACTTTTTGATATTAATGGGGAAATTCCCACTTCTTAATTCAACTAAATGAAATGTAACTAATAAAATGGTGAAATATTCATTTGAATGTCAACATGTAATCAATGTTTAAGTTCGTGGTCGAAGGGGTATAACTTTTGATGACACTATTTGAGGTGTTTTGTGGGAATAAGCACTATTTTTAGTGTAAAAACTGTAAATGAACACTTCAATAGTAAGATATGATACACATGAAGCAGTGCAATGATTAACAATTTAAGGTGTATAATTACACTTAAGGCAAATTTAACACTTAAATAAGCGTAACATAACAGTGTTTTTAAGAATACGTAATAAAGATTAGATTGCCCCCATTAGAGTGTGAACGAGGTGTAAACACTTCGTATAGTGTATTCGTGCACTAAATCAAGTGTTATCGGGGTGTTTTTAAGTTACACCTCATAGGTGTAATTCAAAATCATTCAATTACACCTTAAAGGGTGTAAGAATAAGAATACACCATTACTTTACACCGTTTTGGGTGCATAATTACACCAAGTTTTTACAGTGAGGCGGATTTGATTTTAAATTCCAATTGGACCATTGTGATATCCACATTCTACAGTCGAATATATCTCAAGAAATTCGATGTTGACAAACCAGTTTTGATATATTAATTATTGATCAAGTAGAATTTAAAGAGCTTAACAAGTACAATATTCAAGACATAATAAAACGCCTACAAAATGGTCATATTAGAAAAACGTTGAATTTTATATACTACAAATAATTTGTTAAGACATCGGATATTGGAAATTTTGTATTGTCGATCTTGAATAGTTTTTCATTTAAACTTCCTTCGTATAGAGGCGGGAAAACGTTAAACGGTGCCCTCTTCCAAAATCATTGTTTTGGTTTTGTTACGACAACCTTTCTTTCATGTTTGCCAGTAAATTGTGACCAGGAACTTTGATTAAAATACAAATGATGTATACCTCCTAAAACTTTTTATGCTTTTTTTTCTTTGACTAAGCCGTGTGGAATATTGTTTTAGTGTGTGGGAAGTATACCCTTGTGTTACTCTCCGACTTGATTTGTCAACAATTTTGGCTAGCCTGCATTGTTGAACACTTATTTTACAACCAAGAACGTTTTCATCCTTCTGAGACTTTACATACCCTTTGAGGTGTACCTAAAAATTATATGGTAGGATTATTGCGATATTCTTTTTTTATAATTTAAGTGTACAGAGATCCATGGATAACATGACTGAAGTATTTGGTGATCTATGGAGTCTCACCAACACTACAGAAACTAGCAACTATAAGAACTCCACGGTTACAACGAAAATACCCACGTCCACATACAAATTCAAGCCGGACCTTTATATTGCTCAAGAGGGCAAGATCGACAATTTTTTGGAATACCAGATAGCGTGGGGTATCGACACCTATTATGTACCCATCTGCTCGACGTTAGGAATCATTGGTAACACCTTATGCTTTCTGATATTGATGCTGTCCAGGAGCACGACAACCTACCAATACATGGCTGCCATTTCCTGTACGGACACGTTGATTTTGATCCTGAATATTATGTTTTTAGTACGCAAGTTCCCTGGTCACGAGATTTTCTACACAGAAACATGCGGTTTGATATTTTTCTTGTTTTATTTCGCCATTCATCTCAATGTAGCGTTAATGGTAACGATGACAGCAGAGCGATATGCAGCCATTCGCTTTCCACTAAAAGCATCAAGATGGTTTACTATCAGGAAAGCTCGAGTGGCGATACTTATACAGATATTCCTAGTCTTTACCCTGGATCTCCATAACTTTTTCACCAGGGAAATGGTAGAAGTGGATGGAGGCAACAGTAGCATCTGTTCTAATGTTGGAGAGATGAATACCTTCTTTTTGACCATGATCTGGCCCTGGATTGATGCAGTATGGTATTGTTACTTTCCCTTGGCTTGTCTCTGTGTGCTCAATATATTGATCATTTATCACATCAAAAAATCTGGTAGAATTCAGCGACAGATGACGCAAACCGGCCAAACTGAGAATACCGGGAAAGAGCGTCAAATAACGATCATGTTGCTGTTGGTGACATTCTGTTTTCTAATATTTGTTGGTCCTATGGCGATGATTATAATTATTGAGCGCTATCTCTGGTTCCGGGTAAGAGCGCAGGAACATGCCCTATATTTTCTGGTCAGGACCATTCTCAATTATCTGATGTACACCAACCACGCTCTTAATTTCCTTCTGTACTTTATGAGTGGACAGAGATTTAGAAACCAGGCGAAAGAAACTCTCTGTATTTGTCGCCGCTCTACACTGGGTACGTACAAGCCAGAAGCACGAGCAGCCGGCAATACGGGGTCATCTCTCAGTGTAGCGACCTTGAGTACCGATGTCAGCAAGAGTGTTGCTGGTTCTCAGTTAAGCGTAAATAATATTTAATAATTACATTTTGTGTCAAATGCATAACATTGTGTTAAATACGATGTTATGTTTTACCTCGGAACACTTGAAGCTCAATAGGGCCTATCTCACAATGTCATGCTATATCACGAATTGAATACTTATAGTACTGCAATAGGCACCTTTCTTGTATAATGTAAATTTGTAAATGAAGTGATTTGATTGGATTGTACAGTCAATCAGAGGCCTCGTCAGAAAGTCTGTGTACGCAAATTCATAATGTTGACTGCCTTTCTGACGAAGGCTCTGATTGGCTGTATTCGCTGGTGAACAATCAAATCAAATCAAATCGCTGCATTACGTGATACAAGAATAGTGGCTATTTTTAAGTTTTTGTCGGTGACATATTATACTTATGTGTTGATGAAATGACTCTGTTAGAAACTGAGATAAACTTGTGTGTCTTTCTGAAAGTAAATGGAGACAACTCTTATATTATAGGTGTACAATTTGTATCTTGATGTTATTTTTCTAAATGTACGTCTTTTTTGTTTACGTTACCACTAGGTTAGTCTTATGATGTGGAATAGTTTTCAGATTTTATTTCATCAAGTAATGTGTAATCAGGTATAAATAATAACATCGTATCCAATCCAGTGGCGGAGCCAGGTTTACTTTCCAGTGGGGAGGGGGGGAGGGGAGGGGGCATCGAGATATCTGAGGTTGCCCGAATTTCGAACATAGTTATGAGAGTTTTGCAAACTCTTCGAGAGAAACACTATTGTTATTGGAAGAGTATTTTCACTCTTTCTAGAACACATGATACTACCCCCCTTAGGAGATCCACAGGTATTCAGTTTAATTTACGGGATGTACTGTTTTCACCATGTAAAATATAATCATACGAATGACATTCGGGCAGTGATTTCGATCCTTAAATAATATAAATTATGAAATATTATTATAGGAGAATACAATCGGGCTATCAATTTAAAAAAACACAGTTATAGTATAGGATATTCGGGCAAAGATATCGGCCCAAATTTGGAGGGAAATTCAAATTATTTTCTTTGTTCAGAGCGACACCTATCGGAGGATATATATAAGGCAAAAACATATTTTGGGGAACTCTCGATTTGGCAAGGAAGGAGGAAGGACATATGATTCATTCGTTAGCAAGGGTTAGGATCACGTCGTGCTAAGAGGAAGAAGATCTCGGGTGGATTCTTCAGATTTAGTGTAGACCTCTTGTTAGTTTGAATATAGTGTAAATAAAACGTTGTTAATATCTTAGCTGTTATCTCATTTGGAAGTCCGTATCCAGTCTCTTACAAACAACTATATAGTTTGTAAGAATAATCTACTTTGCGGTTTGCAAGTAGAACTCGACAAACAACTCCGTTGCAATACGTTGAAATAATACATAATTATTTTCCTGGCAAATTATTGGGATGTAGAAAGGACTGTATGGGCGAAAATATAACAATGTATTGTCTTTCTCATAATGATTTAATATGATATAAATACAACTTTGTTCGTTTATTTCATTTGCAAACTATTGTAGGGACGCCATGACTGTGGCGCAGCTGCCTCTGGCCTGCCCTATCGCGTTAAGCATGAGATATATCATTATTATTTCCCTATATGCCCCCTTCAATATTCGCTTGTTGCACTCCTGATTGGGTCCGTTATGTTCATTGGTGAATATCAGATATATGACCAGGGGTTTTCTCAGATTGTATCAATTCTTGAATTGCTAGTTCAACGACTTTATTTGGTCGATAAGATTCATTGAGGGTTTTAACAGCTTTGTCCCGCGTCTTAAACTTTAAGTTAAAGGGTCATTATGCAAAATTTCCATTCTCAAAAACGTAAATAATGAGTTAATTAGCTTTACTTATACTGGTGATTGCTGTCGCATTAAAATTACACATTCTGGCTTGCTATGATTGTGACTTTCTTTAGCAAACTTAAGATTTTGTAAATCTTTTCAGTAGAAGTCGAACTCGGCGAACTGTGACAGTGATTTAGTATATCGGCTCGGCTATGTGGTAATTATATAACTAGGTTTAATATGTTTTGTATTTATTTATTTATATACATGTATATATCGAAATATACATAACATTTATTTAATGATCCCTTTTTTCCTTTTGTAACATAACTATATACAATATTTGATTCAATTTGTAATGAGAATAGGTGGTACAATGAATATGAATAAAAATTGCATTTTTCATTAATCATTTAATAAAAATTAATGCATAGCTTTTATTCAAACAAAATAAATCTAGACTTAAACGTCAACATAACAACCTTTTATGTCGAGCTTCAATATTAAAAGGTTTTATAATACGACAGGTGAAAAAATGTATACAAAAGACATCGCTTTAAGCACAAATAAGAATTGACACATTAAAGATATTTCTATTCAAAAATTCAGAATTTTTTTTCTGTTTTGAAATAAAAATTGTTGTATAAAAGTATAATGATTTAACAGTCGATAGTTTTGTTTAGTATAAAATTGATTAACTTAATTATATGCCAAGCTATATTTTGGGTTTAGAAAAGTCATCAGATGATATTACTATATAATAGTACATGAAGGTATCGATAATAATGACAATGTATCAGAAAATACTGTTCTGTTTTTTATTTTCAAAAGATCCCTTGCCAACACTACACTCTGTCTACTACAAATTTAGTGAATGTTGAATAAATCTTTCCATCAACAAAACAAAAATCCTAAGGCACAACTAGCATGTATAACATACAAATAACACCATCATCAAATTTATTTTCAAAAATAAACCAATGTTGATAGCAATTCAAACCTAGCATTACAATTTTTGAAAGACCAGCCGATGATAAACTTATAGTTAAGATATGAAAACTATATATGTTTCTAAATGGCCCCTTTTCTGATGCAGCATTATTACAAAAAATATCTCCGCTGGTAAAACAAAATTCAGAATTTTCAACAGAACAGAGCCAAATAAAGCTGATAAGGCTGAGCATCAAGAAGCAAGTTCATATTAGAGATTTATTGCTGAGCTGATTATGACATGATATTCTAACAAATGTATAATGAAATTCCAAAATCTCTTTATATTTTACTTTCATCTGATTCTTGAGGACGATCTCCAAAATAAAAAGCAGCCTTTTTATCAGTAGAGCCATTCTCCTTATTATTATTTTCATTTTTTCTTCGTTGTTTACATCTACAAGCATAAAAAATATATGTTTGTATTAGGTACAATGTTACAAATGGTCTTTCGTGGGGATTAAATGTCATTATTTGCATCAAGACATTACGAAATCACACTCAAATAAGATTTGAAGCTTGGGAATTACTGAAACATTAGCTATTCTGTGGATGCGAATCTAAACAACCTTATCGTGTAACAAAGTTGTTACACACACATGGATGGACACTTCATTCCTTATTCTTGAATGCTAATTTTGGTATTCAAAGTCCTACCAAGAAACAAAATCTAAAGAAATCCGCGTGTTATTAATACTATAGTTTACGTAAATAAATAATGTATCCCATAGGATGCAAAAAATCGACAAGTATCAACAAGAAGAAAAAAATAGAAACAAATCAACACTACAGCTACTTACCTGTCTTCGTTATCTTGTTTTAGCTTTGCCCAGATTGCTGTTTTTGACATTTCTTCACTAATGTTGACCCTGTCGGTGTCAACAGAGCCACGGCGAATGATGTGAGGAGCAAACTTTTCTCCCAATCTGTCATGTTGTACTCTGATTTCATGCAGTTTGTCGAAATCTTCATCAAGTAGACTTTCATTCTGAAAAAAATAATTAAAATATATAAACGTTGTGCCTTAATTTGACTTACAACATAAGATAATTCATGCAGTGTCCAATCTATAGTTCCTATTACAGTTTTTCTCTCAAATCATCCCGTGGTGATGAGAGAGACAAGGTGCCCTATGACAAATAATCGATACAGTAGAAACTAGGTGAAACGAATCGTAAGTGTCCAGACCCGTACGTCATGTATTCACTATTTTTCTCTGTATCAGATTACACTAGACACCGCACAAAGTGAACAAACTAAACGCAAGACTACATCCAATAGTTACAAAATCAAAACACACAAAAAAGTGAACACAAAACTTTATGAAGCTTGTGAAAATTAAATTCAGAGCTCAAAACTCTAAGCAGACAAAAATCCCAATTGGAATAATAAAACAACTTCATTTCAAAGAGTTATCAATATTAAGTGTTTTCATTAAAATAATTCTGTTACTGTTACAGTCATGAAAAGAGTATTTTGGGTTCTAGATTTCTTTTTATATTTTCAGAACCTCTTATAATCTGGTTAGAAATTAGATGGGAAATTCGGGTTCTCCTTTATGGATTGGTTAGTGGTAATCGGAGAAATTATTTAAATCTTTTCGAAATATTAGATAATAGATAAAATAAAGATATTGATATACGTCATTTGTTAAAGAGATTGTAAAGAGGTTTTTCATTTTTTTTTGTGTATCCGGGACGCTGTAAGCATTAATTTGCACCATTTCAATTTTCAGTCAGATGTCTGTGGTTCCTGAAATTCCACAAAAATAAGTTTCTGATTGAAATTTGGAATAATACAAATTTATGCTATCAGTGTCCCCGATACACATATTAGAAACCTCTTTACTATTCCTTTGAATACAATCCAACAAGACGACTTGAAGCCCTCCTTTTGGAATCGATCTCTGTGATTATTCTGTAAGTTACTGAAATAAAAGCTGTTGTTATCCAGAAAGAAATCACAGACAAAAGAAAAATCTGAAATATTAAAATACCATTTCCAAGACTGCGTCTGAAACTTTGGTGAATAAATGCAAGAAAGCCTGAAACTGAAATGCGGTTAAATATGGTGAATATGCAAATAACCTTTGAATATGCACAATGATTGCTAGCCTTATATATGGTATTTTGCAAGATGAAGAAAATGCATAACGGGGTGTGCTTAACTTGAATACTAAGTTACGTGATATTCTATAATGCATAATGTAATATTGATATTTTAAAGGGATATTCCGCTTTTTTGTAAAAAGTTTTTATTATAAAAAACGGCGTAAATTATACCTGAAAATATGTCTATAGTATGCTATTTATATCTATGTATTTTCTTGACCAAACTGAATTTTTAATAGGTACTAAATCTTAATTAAGCAGTTTGACCTAGTTTTGGTGTTTATAATGATTTATAATGGTGCGATATAATTTGGTTGAAACCTTACGAATACGTAGGAGACATATTTCTCTATAATTAGGCGTTTATTTTACTCATATCCGTACAGTAGCTTTAACAGCTTCCAAAAAAGCATAACGAACTTAAAAACATTACATTAAAGAGCTCATTTCTCTAGATTTGTGTATAGTTTTCACAAATTTGAGCACAAGAAAAAGTTTGACCTACAAAACAAGCGAAATTTCCCTTTAATAAGTCCTTAGATACTCAAATAGATATAACAGGAAGTTTATATGGGTGACTTGCAACTGATGATGGTGAGCAATGAAAAGCAAAGTGTCAACTGACACCGGATTCACATAATGGTGATTGAAATGCTGGTTTTTGTATGAATCTACCATGAAAGACACGCCCAAAACGTTTGTACCTCCTGTTCTGTAAATTTTTGTTCATCTTCTTTCTCTTTCTTAGCCGCGTCCGGCATGAGATCGTCTAACCATTTCAATTCATTGCCAGGGAAGATGTATTCTAAACCTTTTCGTACAAAACAGATAGCTAACACCTATAAAAAGTAAAGAGGCAACCGTAATAAGATACAAATAACCGCTAAAGCAAAACATGCTCTAGAACTGGATTGATTGATTTGAATTAAAAGTCAATATTCAACGTTTCTAGCAACAAAATGCCATCCTCTGAAAATGGAGATCACACTTAAATGGTGGTTCTACAATATAGTATTACACCGACAGCTGTGCAGTGGCCCCTTCAAGCTTTTCAAACATTATCAAAATATTTCCGTGGCGCATCAGAGTACAAAAATATTTCATACCATAATAGGGAAGACAATAGACGCAGCTTTCCATGATTTGATACCCCATAAAGCACCTAAACATAAACACTGTATAAAGGTGAACAGGTGAATTCTACCAATTGGCACATGTCGTACGTAAGAAGTATCGGGTTGGTATTTAGCTGGTTTAAATAGCAGCAAGAGACGATCTATCAGCTGCATACCTCGCAAAGCAGCAACACCCATGTATAAAAATACACCATATAAAACAGCCATGGGAATAATCTGAAATAGTGGATTAAATGAAAATAATACTTAAAGCGTCTCAATAGTAAGTTCAATAACTCATGTCAAAACGGGTCACATGTATAATACAAGCTGCATGACAATGCATGCAGAAAACATTCCACCCTTAAAATACAGCCTTTTTCATGACATTGTTATCTGGCCCATAGCCAGACTTGATTTTTGGGAGGGGCAAATAATATATTTGAAGGGGAAATGGTGTAAGATGTTTAGTTGCAGTATTAGAATTGATCGGTTGTCAGAAAACATTCCACCATTTTTCCGTCACATTGTTATCCAACCGCTAACAACATTCACATGTTATTTGAGATCATACCCATATTTTTCCCCATCTTCTCCATACATAAAAGTGATTAACAACAAGAGAGAAGGAAATATACGTTGCGCATATCAACAGAAGACAAAAAAGTTTAATAAGAAAAGTTTGTGGCGGGGAAACTTACTCTGAGAATTCCAGTAAAAAGAACAGATAATCCACTCAATAATCCAACAACTAAAGCAGTCACTCTTTGTTCTCTAAAAGGTAAATGTAAAGTAACATGGTAAGAGATCAATGATCAGTGATCAATGTACCAGCCTGCTGATTTGGGGTATAGCTCGACGATTACGAGATGATACCTTACACATTCTGACAACATCACTGCATGAGAAAGAGAAATGCTTCACCATACAATGTCACTTTGTGGATGGTTTATCACATTGGATCTATACTGACGATAGTAATACGTAAGTCATAGAGAATGCTTTATAATAAAAGCTTCATTTCATTTTACTATATAGTACCTCTAGTTGAAAATTTTCAGGTTAATACAGATATACTGGTGAAGCGGTGTGTTTCATTATATGAAAATAGAAAAGCATCTCCTTCGCAATGTGCACAGTCAATAAAACCATTTCAAAGACACAATTTCAAAATGAGTAACAATATGTATAACATTTCACGTTCAGAAAAACCAATTCATTCTTACCTTACACCTAAAAATGTTGGTTTTTCACCAGGGGCAGTACATTCTGACTCTTTCTTCAAACTCATCACATGAGCTAAGGCAGAGACTGTTGCAGCAACATACCAAGGTAGACCCAACAAGGAACAGAGAACAATACACACAGCCACTACAAACATATCCAAATGATAACCGCTTCCTTTCTGAAATTATCAAAGAAACAAATAAATAAGATAAAAAGGATGAGAAGAGAATTTTAGAAAAGGTGTGTTTATCTGACGATAACGATATCTGGATCTGCCCATTATCTCGAGGACAAACAACACAGAACAAGATGTTTATAAGAACAATAAAAAGTCATTAAGATACCATCTCTACAACGTAAACGACAATACTCGAGAAAATGTGATCAAATATGGCTTTTTTGTCATTTTCATTCTTTCGTTTGGTACCTATTTTTCATTTCATATAGAAACAGTCACTGAAAATACCGTAAAAGTGTAGAAACAGATGATGGTATTCTCTTTGGCAACTACTATTCATCTTTTACTCTCGATTTTGTCATGCTTTGGACGAGATTTTGATTCACAAAATTGCTTGTATGAATTTTTATTAAAAATAATATCAAAATGTACCTTCAGTTTGTTTTCTTTTCTGTTGACGATGACAGCAGTAATCTGTTGATCCATAAAGATAAGAATAGTGGCCAAGAGAGCTGGGATAATGGCAGCAGGGATCAGGTATACTGGATTCTTGTCACTGATAGGATTGATAAACCACGGTCGTCCGTCTCTTGAAGGCTGAAAACATATAAGGTAACATAAGCAAAGAACACTTTTACGATGAGCATAGAGTCGATGTATTTTTGCCCACATTACCCCACTATACATTTAATCATTACTAACCATGTGTGTTCTTTCTAACACAAACGCTCGAGATTTGTAGGGTAGGAAGTCAATAGCTGTATTGCAGGTCATGGTGTCTTTAGTAGATCAATTTTTGTACAAACTTCTCCCTTCATTATCAATCCGCATATGGGTTTGCAAACATCACTGGCTTTCTAGTACTTAATGATGAAGCTACTGAAATCCTACCTTAAATTCTGTTGGTACTTTTAACTTGGCAGTATCGACACCAGCCCAGACATCACAGCCTACCATTACCAATATAGCAATCAACACAGCAAAGTCGGACATAGTTTGACGAACCTTGAAATAAAATAGTATATATCAGAGTGTTTCACTCACAGCTTCAATACTGATATTCTTGTGTAATTCATGACGTTATATTATATTATATCATATATTATTTGGATACGACTACCTCACATTATGAGGAACAGACTCGAGAACTGTATATTTTATTTTGCTCATAACCATATCCCGTTGTTATAGGTTTACAAAATAAACAATGACAACATGGGCACTAAAGTAATAGAACAAGTGCATAATGGACGCAAATGAGGGAAGTGCCTCACTTTTGAAACGACGGTCAAACTTTAGAAATACTTTCAGGTTTGCATCAACTTACAGTGTCTCATTGAGTGTCCATAACGATTTATTTTGAAGACTTGATGACAGAGAAATAATAATAGCTTACCGAGGATGGAAAAAAGGAAGAGTTCTTCATGAACGTCAACATGAAGGCAATGATGAAGGTTCCAAAGAACAATAAAACTGACATGAAGAAAGCATCAGGAACAATAGGATGATGGAAACAATCCGGGGAGGGAATTCCATGAGCTTTCTTACAGGTCTTCAGGGTATCAATAGCTGACCAGTTCGTCTCTGTCATAGAGCTGTTTAAAGTATCGTTGTACATGTTGGTTAAGGCAGCGGTGGTGGTCTCAATGAAGTACGAGCCTGTATCGGTGGTGTTTATTGTCGTTCCGTTAACACTGATGTCGGTCATGTTGGGTGCGGTGCAGAAACAGTGGTAGAACATCGGGCCCGGATGAGTCCGAAGGTTGTGATACGGCGTCTCATGCAGTAGGCCGATCAACTTCTTGAAAGCTTCCACGATAAAGATGATGGCTATCAGACACGCGAAACTTTCTTCTGTAAAGCGAGTTATATACCGCACCAGGGCACTCAGGTCAAAAGCCACGATAATTAAGAGAATTACACCCGTCCAGATTCCTATCCATGCCCTAAACGGTAGGAAATCCCATTCGTTGGCACTGTAATAAACAAAGATGATTGTAACAGATGTTGGACAAGATGGATGAAAGCTTATCTCATTATGCTTATATATTCTTATATTGAGCAATCCACAATCCAATAATCACAATTGGTATAGAAATGCGGGACTCGCCAAAATGAGATATGAATAATATAAGCGAAGGAATTTAAAAATTTTGCAATTTTCAGTTTTGTCCGTTTGAAACAAACAGTTTTAAAGAAATGTCCTTCATTCTTCTGGACAACGTCCATCATTGCCCACTATATATTGCAGAAAAGTACTACATACATGTACATTCATTTCATTTCTAGATTGTTCTTTAAACAAATGGTTATTTGATGTATTAAAAAATTTCACTTACGCGCAGAAATTATACAGAATCATCTCCAGTACCAACATTGGGCCAGTGCTACCTAGGATGTTGAGAGGTTGACCAGCAAACAGAGCGAACAGTACACCACAGATCGATGCTGTCAAAATACATTCCATTGTTCCCTAGAAATTGTAAATACGATTGTATGGTTAAAGTTTTTCAAATACAACCAGCAGGATTAAATTGTATTCGCGTGTGTCACTTTGCTTATTCATAAAGAGAGTCTCCTTTCTGGAAATCGAACAAATATCGGTGCTCTGTTTACTTGCACTATTTTAACAGTGAATATATTTTATTGTAAGCTTCAATACTTCTAATAAGGTGAAAGATCAACTGATCAACTAATTAGTTATCTTACCATGTAATCGTCGGTAGCCTTTCCAAGTAAACCACCAAATGTAACATTAGGAGTCAATGTAGCGAGATATAGGTAAATAACAGAAGCTACACATTGGATATGCAAACAGTCTTTGAAATCACTTCCATACCACGGCAACTTTCGCTTCACATCAGCAACTAAACCGCCAAATATTCTAGAAATAAACGCAACATTTTGTATAATGCATTTACCGATTATTTCCCGGAGTACTGTATTAAGACCAAGTATAAGAGGAGACGGGGGTATTATCACCACAATTTCAAAGAAGCTGTATCACTTGCTACGATCCATGGAGCTAGGGTGTAACAAACAGGGATTGAATCCACAATTCACCGTCTAGGCTTCTTGTCAGTGTGTAACTTAACTTTTGAACATATAGAATTCAAGCCACAATTCAAGACGAAAGAGTAGTATTGTCTTCCAGTATTGTGTGCTAGTTTTGGAAAATGACCTTCAGAGCTTGTGGACGGTGATTAATCAACTTACGTTCCGGATCTGACTAGAGTGGGATCACCATGACATTCCACCTCATCTTCCTCATCGTCTGGTATTTCTTTAGGTTTAATCTTTCTCGGTTCCTGTGATAAAAAGAAATAAGAGTTGATAGAATTCAATGTTCTGAATCACCAAAAGTAAGAGTTATGGCCTGATCGTCTGACCAGGTACTCCTTAAGGTTTAATCTTTCTTGGTCCCTGTGAGGAAAATATACAGAAAATATAGAATCAATATTTATTTGTATTCAATTATATTGATAGGATCTTATTCACCAGAAGGTGGAGCTCTCACCCTTGCTGATTTTGTGATCGGTTCATTTGGGGGTAATTATATAGATAATACATATTAGTACTCGATCATATAGAACTATTGCCCGATCTTCTAACCTGGTACTGCTTTGGGTTAAAACGTTCTATGTTCCTCTGGCCCATCTTACACATAATACCAAAGTTTACAATTTCAGTATTCAATCTGCCTTTATTTGACTAATCTACAAAAATGTCCGTAAGATTCAATATTTGGAAATTACAGTTTTCAAAATTATTGGTTGATTACCCACCTGTGAGGGAACGCTCTGTGGGGGTTCAATTCTAATCTTAGGATCCCATTCACCAGGAGGCAGAGCTGTGACCTGGTCCAAGAATTCATCAACACCAGCTAATATGTCTTGTCTATTTCTAGCTTTATACGCCACTTCTCGGAACACCTGTGACAAAATCAATTTACGTTTATAACGGTCAAACAGATAGTATAAGAAACAACAGGCATTACTTGTCAATCAGCATCGCCGTTAAATACCATAACTTCGGATTGAAATGGGAATCAAAAATTCTGCTCAAACTCTGGATAACAGTATGAAAATATGGATCCATAAGGCTTTTATATCGGCAGAGGGAAAATCCTACACATCATTTATACTCTAGGGGTAGAGATCACATTAAATAATGGGAAAGGGTATAGCAACTGGCATAACATGTACTACTACCTTTAGAACGAACCCTGACAATTCCAATAACAAAATGATACAATTCTCATTTACGGTTTACCGGTGTTTATCTACTGTATATTATAGTGATTCGGTCGGGACTCAAATATACCAGTTTACAGAGGAATCAGGTTTATAGAGGATGCGGTTTAGAGGTTTCACTGTACCGAGTTGTCGAAATTAGAACCGATTATAGTATTTGATATTGTGTATGTATATTATTTCAAAGAGACTGTACCTCATCTACCATGATAGTTGACATGGAACGACCAATTTCATAATTCTTGGTTTGACTACCGGGTGGGCCGAGCAGGAAGAAAATAAATCGAGTTGGTAGAGGAACCTCGGTTATATCACCCAGAGTTCTAGATTCCGATAACCTAATAAAGGCAGTGATCTGGTATTTCAGACAATCCAGTTCTCCAATCCAAATATTAGCGGCTTCGGCACCATCGGGAATTTTCCTCATGAAATGTTGATTTAACTGAAAATGAAAATGCTGTGTTATGTTTGCTTTTTAGGTTTACACTACGCAACAAAGCTAATAATGATGATAAGCACTTTTTTTTATTTTGTTGCTGACATTTTCTTAATATTATTTTATTGTTCAGTGTCTAGGTCGACTCATTACCGTTTCCAATTATACATTTCTCGATTTAAAACAGAAGAATTATTTGGCAAGGATAATGACGTCTTGGGATTATGTGTACCATCTGGATGCAGTGGGACTATCGTGATCAAATAGTCTTTAGTCTCTAGTCAACCCACTAGTGAATCTACACTATGCAATTGTATATTGAGCACTGAATTAATCCGAATTGTACGAACCATCAGGTACCATAACAGTGCGGATCGCTTTTCAATTGCTAAAGCACACTGTATCACATTTCCCATATACGCATCCATAATATATCTATTTAAAACGACAGTTACCTTAGCATTAGAAGGCGAATCAGGGAGGTCACCATTTACATTGAGATGTTCCATATTGGGCGAACTAGCTGATCCTTTGTTTAACATAGCCTTCGAATCTACAAAAACGAAAATACGCCTGTTATGTTATAACATTTTTCTATGAGTAGTGCGGCAGCTGTGAATGGAGTGGTTTAGATTTGTAAATATTGCTTTTCTTCGCAAATAAAAATAAATGAAATATTATACAATGATGTATAACATACTTTGGAAGAGATTTTTGTTTAGTTTAATTGATTTGCTTGTGCAGATTTTTATAAAACACAAATCTTAACGATACCTTTTCTGCTACCAAAGGACTGTCCAATGATGGCTCGTGACAATCGACGTCCTAATCCCATACTCTCTGGATCAGCAGACGATGTTCGACGTCCAAACTTTTTGGAATGTTGAAAGGAATGGGGGGCGATGAAAGCTGCCTTAACCTGATCTCTCAAATCTTCCTCCAGTAATTTAGCGTTTATTAGGTTGTCGAGCAGGAGATCTGAAAATGAATTTCACATGAGTGTTTAAGTAGTGTTTCTTTGGTGACTCCATTCATGGCGATACAATGAATGCATGGACAATAACTGTGCGTGATCATTAAATATATATCCACATTAACTAACATTTCAACTGAGGAAAAGAATAAGAATCTTACCAGCAACTTGTGTGATATGATAGGCGTCCACGGATAATAAAACTGATCCAGATAGTAAACTACTTCTCAATTCAAATAGAGAATGGAGGGAGAGGGAAGCTACGTGAGGTTTGGACCATCTCGAACCTCCTTCTTCTACATCTTCTTCATACTTCACCCATCTGTAATAAACGTCTGGTGTTAAACATGACAAACCTAATCTCTGGGTGTATCCAATGGAGATAGTTTGCTATTTGTGAGAGGATCGAGGTGGGGTGGGGAGGTCAAAAGTTTGGCAAGTCCCAACAGGCTCATTTTTAAATGTTGTTGGTAATTTGCTGTCATATTTTCACGGAAGTGAATTTGCGGGTACTAAGAAAAATGTACTTGGAATAGCATTGTTAGCATTCCGTGAGTGATAAACATGGTCACAGTTGAACAAACGAGGAGCCCTCTGAAAACGAGATCATTACTCTACAAGTGCTCAGCATTGCGAGTCTGTCTTACCTAGCAGTTTCTCTCCATTCCATAGCATTTGCCAATTTAAACAAACAGTCCATTTGACAGAATACATCACATGTACTTGTGTCATCTTCGTGTTCTCCTAACAGATGCTGGATCTGTTCACTCGGTGTTAAAGATGCTGAAAACAGAATAGATCTAACATTTAGACTGGAGGTAGTCGTAGTGATACAGTAATCTGCTTACCAAGTAACCAAGTACTGCCACACTGCCATAGCAAAATGGTTACGATATTCTATTTAGTACTTTTTCTACAACCAAGTGGATTGTTTGAAAGCGATGCTTAGCTGACAAAAATGTACAGTACTATCAAGGATTCGGGAAGAGAAAATTGAGATCTAAGATATGATTTGAAAAATATAAATACAGTTTAGATGCCTAATGAAATAAGATATTGAATGCTGAACCAACACCAAACACAATACAAAAGTTAGATAAAAACAGAACAAGAACAGTGGTAGTTCTGTGGTAGTTTTGTCAAAGAAGAACAACATGTGTATTTATTAGAGTGCTACAACTCACTCAACATGTATTGTATATAATAAACAAGTTATAATAACAGTATTCATTAAACAGTATTGTATATGATAAACATGTTATAATAACAGTATTTATTAAGCAGTATTGTATATGATAAACAAGTTATAATAACAGAATTTATTACACAGTATTGTATATGATAAACAAGTTATAATAACAGTATTCATTAAACAGTATTGTATATGATAAACATGTTATAATAACAGTATTTATTAAACAGTATTGTATATGATAAACATGTTATAATAACAGTATTCATTAAACAGTATTGTATATGATAAACATGTTATAACAACAGTATTTATTTAACAGTATTGTATATGATAAACAAGTTATAATAACAGTATTCATTAAACAGTATTGTATATGATAAACAAGTTATAATAACAGTATTTATTACACAGTATTGTATATGATAAACAAGTTATGATAACAGTATTCATTAAACAGTATTGTATATGATAAACAAGTTATAATAACAGTATTTATTACACAGTATTGTATATGATAAACATGTTATAATAAAAGTATTTATTACACAGTATTGTATATGATAAACAAGTTATAATAACAGTATTTATTTAACAGTATTGTATATGATAATCATGTTATAATAACAGTATTTATTAAACAGTATTGTATATGATAAACATGTTATAATAACAGTATTTATTACACAGTGTTATTAACCCACTGAACATGTTTAGTATATGATTAACATTTGACAATAAGGGTTTTTTACACAGTGTTATTAACTAGCTTAACCCATCAACAATGCGTTAGTAAGAATTGTTAATAAAAGAGAAAGAACCCATGCCCAATAACTTACAAGTCATAGTCATTGTAGGCTCTGATACTGGAAATTAGGAGAAAAGTTTTGAAAGAGAATTGAAAGAAGACAAATCCGAAGATACCATCTCCATCCATGTCAGAATGGAACCCTGGACACTCAAGAACCGGCCGTATATACAAGGATGCAAAAAAAATAGTTATTAGGAAAACAGTATAGATCAAAATAAATAGATATATAATTGAATTATTGAGAGTTATATTATGATACAAAAAAGTATATTTTCATGCACCGTAGATTAGGACATGTGTCAAAAGACTGATGTTCCACACATGCAAGATTTTATAGAGTGTTATATTTATTGAACATGCTCCCTAGAAAGTGTCGAGCTGCCTTAAAATCTAATGCCTGTTCCTCTTATAAACTGTTTTATTTTGGGGCACGAATTATCCAATTAGAAACACTTTTCCATGATAACCACAAGCGTGCAAAAGAGTTCGGTGAAAAGAAATCAACATTTCCTTCCTTTGAAGCGTCAAAGAAAGGTAATCAATATCCCTTCAAAAGTACTAACCTGGTGTTACTCCATCAGATAACGCACTTCTTCCCTTCTTATGATGATGTTTATTCGGTCGTCGTGGACGTTTTGGTAAACGCAACCCTATTGTTGCGTTACTGCTTCGTCTGTCGTATGCTACAAAACATGCAATAAACCTTTATGTCTAAGAAAATTTTACTTTCACTGGAGATGTCGTGAAGTTTCTGTTTTCAAATCACTGGTATAATCTTGTCTGCTTGGGTCACAAGCGTTTGTTCGACATATAGTGACAGGGTAAGAGACTGAGTTTTAAGGTTCCGTACGAGCCATGGTTTTCATATAATATTGAGAAATTCGGGAATATTTAGATGTACTCTAAAACGTTTGGAAACGAAAGCCAGTTTATACGTCCTGTGGCTGTGCTTTCGTAATGTTGTTTTCATTGCTACAATGTCAATGTTACAACCACCATTCCTCAGTTAACAATCAATTAACAGACTTTCTTGTATCACTGAAGATTGTAAACGCAATCAGAGCACTCGTCAGAAAAACTTAAACAATATGGCATTTAGTGTTTACAGATTTTGTGTCGAGGCCTCTGATTGGCTGTATTTGCTAGAGTGCAATTCAATCCAACCACTGCATTTACAACCTTCCGTGATACTAGAAAGGCGGTTAAGAGAGTCAAGGTATAAGCCAAAGGTCGTAATAGCTTGACATTTTGAAGATGATGTCGAGTTAATCTTGAAAAAGATTATATTATATGTTGCTCACTTACCACTGCTATCTATATCAAAGTCAGGCATGATCTTAGCCGGTCCTGTATCCCGCACTGGGAGAGCATCGTAACCCGAGTCCATATTGGTATAATTTAAACTATAAACCTTGGCCAAGATAGGCTAGGGGACAGTTTCTTCTCGTATACCTGGAATCTGAAATTGACGAAAACGTTATTGAAATTAACAGTGGTATAAACTCTGATATAGGGAAATGAAAATAAGAGAATTTGAAAGCATTATGAATGTAACAGATGCAATGAGAAGTTTTTTTTATTTCTATATTCTTGCTTATAGGATTTACGATATGAAGTCATGAACGGTCTCCCTTCTATTAAACTCTAACCTTCTAACAAAGCTTGTTTTTCCTTTTTTCAGATAAAATTTAGAAAGACCTGCAAGGTCTAAATGCCGTGGGACTGTAGGCATTGCGATACATGTATTTCCTTTTTAAATCTAGCTAGGGATTTGAGTCAAAGTATGGGACGATTCA